GTCTCTAAAAACGTTTAATAATTATTTGGTTTTCCGGAAAGGCATTAGGTAAAGAAATCCCGGCAAACAGTGTGCTAGTTCAAAGGATTACTGCCCCAATCTTATGCTTTCAAAGCTCCCTGCATCATTGGTGCTTCCCTGAATCTATTGATGACTGTGTGATTGGGAGAGAAGTAGCATGAATGGTGTCATACTGCAGTATGCTATAAAACTAGGGCACGCATATGAACATGCATGCCATGATAAGTAATAATCAGCATAATACTAATGCTGATATGGATTCAATCATTGACAGCCTGGGGATCAGGAGGTACCCTAGTGCCTTATTATGGTTTTGTACTTCAAAGTAGTTGGGAATTCTATTGCAGGTTACGGCAACTGGATAGCTGTTAATGCTGTGAATTAACGTCTTGTTTTTCTATTCATCAGGCGTGTTCTGTTAGGTTAGGATGAGTCTGTAGCATCTCTGAAAGAAAACATTTCCTAGGGGACATGTGATCCTACAGGCCGCTGCTACTACTAGCATTGAGCATGCCTGATGATGATGCCAGCACAACTCTCTACATCATAGTCATTCAAGGGGGATGCTGTTCTTTGAAATTACAGCTGTGATAATGTTACTCAACACATAATCACTACATGACGCCATGATAATACATAACCCCAGGGATCACATGGCCACCATGCATGTGAGGTGTAAATTATGCAGAAAACACTGCACATTTCACACAATCATGTACTGCAGGGGCTGTTGAATTGTCTTCCTACCCTGAGCAAGGCTCGAATTACTCAAACTCAACCCCTACCACACTATACATGTAGCTGACAGTTTAGTGTCTTCATTTTGTATTTACGCTGTTCTCATCTCTGCAGATATTCCCAGCGAAGTGATTGGTTTGTATTGCAGCAATCCAACTCCGATACTTTGACATTGTGGAGTACGTGTACGACTATATACACCGTACGCTATCTACATGTTTCAAGTACATGATCTTCTCCCAATGCTTGAAAAGGGTTTGCGAGATTAAATATTAATTATAATTTATCACCTTACAAGACCTAGTATTATAAGACAATTAATTTGTTGTCTTATCATGCAGTGCTGCATGCAATGTACATGACTTGTACATGTACAGGTATATGACTAGTCCACAATACAATGGTATTCCAACCACATCATGCTAGGACTTGTACTGTAATCTACACTTTCCTGCTAGCCACTCATGAAACACTTGGCGCACATAATCATTATTGTGTTCCTGTCATGCTTCTCATGTACGCTGTTGATTGATCCCACTTCACCTGATGGGCCTACACAGCGTTTTGTGAGATGGTAAAGAGAAACACCTCTATCACTGTTTACACAGTGTTTAACCTCTCTGGGCGAGGTTTGTTGAACTCATGTACATGTACATCGTACACATTTACATTGCAGGGCTGTCATGCCATTGTTAGTACCGTACCTGATCTGGTAAATAATTGGTTATTACTGAGCCTTTGCAGACGGAACTCAAGGCTTTGAAACACTTTAGTCCCCCCCCCCCCCTCAATCATGAAACCACTAGTATTGGCACTAAGTAAGTTTCAACGTGTTATCATTATTGTAACGGCACATCCATGATGACTTACGTATTCTAGGCTATCTCTTTCTGGCACTGTGCGGTAGGCGAATGTGCGGTTCTACGATTCGAAGTACAGCGTAGATCTACGACTCTGTCACAACTGTCAATAAAATGACTACGGCAATGATATGTCCACCCACTCTCTCGCGCACTGGCGATAGTGCAAACCACTCCACGGCCCCCTCATTTCCGCGCACGTACACGTAGCTGAGAGTAGAGACACTGAGTGTTGAGACAGCCAGAGCTACTGTCTGTCCGACTAGTCGACTCTGTACCACCATACTCCATTACATAGCCTAGAACCAAATACAGTAAAGACGGACACCTCTGAGGTGACTCTGCTGGTTTACGAATGCCTCGCTCAAAAACTTGACCCAGGCAAGAGCCTTATCTGAGCGGCACATGACATGGCTTCAAGCCTTCATTCCCACTCAACATACTCATTGCATTGCCGCAATACAACATACCACCATTGAAAATGCTGCAAATACCGGTAATGCTATGTCTGCTTCTGCTAAAACTAGTCACAAACGAAAGGTAGACTTCATTTTATCAATGTTTCACCGGCGTGGCAGGTTTAGCGGATTTAGGAAGTGTCATACGCGCCAGCGACAAGCTAGCTAGCTAGCTCCTGCTTCGTGGTCGACGCTGCCATCGTTTTACTAGGCAACCGACAGCTAGTTGCGTCAAGGAGTAAAAATAACAAGATTTGTACTCCACCAGCAGGGCAGAAAAGTCGTGAGTGTTACTGGTGACAAAACCGTCGCAACTGTACTAGTCCTAGTACCTCGTAGCGTAAATAATTTACGTTCCTGATCAGCATTTCCTTCTGTTCGGAGAGATTAGGTCTGATACATTCGAGGCGCTGTCTCCGGCCGACGTCGATCGACTGCACTTGCGCAATTGCATCGTCGACAGCCAAAATAATTCGCACCTCGCACTGTCAAAGTGTTGCAGAGCTGGGTCTTTGGTGTTTCGCGCCTGAGAAAGTTAGGTTACAGAGTAGATCGGGAAGGATTCGCCATGGCAGTGTTCCGTTTAGTGCCGCTGTGGACCCTGTCGGCACTGCTGCTGGTAGCGGATGTGGCACGAAGTCGGGGAGTTGTCAGCCTGCCGATGTGCCGTGTGCCGGTGGCCGATCGGTATCGCAACTATTACATGGCCGCATCGGGTGCCAAGAGCCATTGGGACGGAGTGTTCGTATGCATGAAGTATGGGGACATTAGCGGCAGCAGTAGTGGCTCTCTGCTGGCGATGCGCTGTGAGGTGGGACGTGGTGGCACCCCTATCCTCGTGCTGGATCCGACTGGCATCAGCGAGTGCCAACGTCAAATCGAGGCCAGTGTCAACGAGGTCGACGAGTCAAACCTAGCCTGCGACCTGCTGGAGGCGGCTGGTCCGGATGAAATGAATACCGAAGTATATTCCCTGGAGGGCATGAAACTGACTGGACAGAACAACACAGGTAATGATGCGGTCTTGGACAAGCTGTACGTCACACACCTCTCCATCGTCTGTACAGAGACGTATGGCACCAAGACTGTCGCTGCAACACCTCGCCTATGTCGCGGCGGCAGTCTGTCGGCGTATATGCCCGGTTCTGAGCTGCGTCCGAGGACTGAACACTCGTGCGCCAATGTAGATATGAGCGCACTGGGTTTCTAGTGACTAGACTGGCTGCACTGATTGGCTGCTTGACTATACCCACACGGCCGTCGGCGAACCAGAGACGTGATCCTCCCGAACTCCGGGCAGAGGTCTTGAACACGTGTGCTGTGTTGTCATGGACACAGGCTTGCACAGTGACTGTAGCGGCAGAGTAGTGTGCGGCGAACCAGGCAGATCCACGTAAGCCGGCCAGGTCAGTAGAGAATATCGCATTTCAAACTGGTGTAGCTGGGGTACCTAGTGAGTAGTGTGGTGATTGCATAGTGATAACATTCGGAACTAGCAAGCCTCTGCTAAGTCCACATGTAGGACTGGTATATCATTCAGAACCTTCATCCCAGACTGGCACATAGTATACTATCTATTTTATCATTGAACGAACCGAGCCACCAGCAACTGATCAATCCGCTGAGATGTGTTCGGAACGATTAATATAACTCGCAGCGTAATGCATTTTCTATAGGGCCTGCTTATTGTACGCCATATTCTGGGAAATCCTGGCAAACAGGGCAACTGTGTCTTGTCTCACGATTTGCTATTCATATTCCACCCGGCAGTATGTATTCTGTTTCCATGTTTCGACTGTTGAGTGTACATGCTCTCAGTAGTACAATGAAGTGACGATGTCCTGATTCTGTTGAAAGGTCCTGTCAGGATGATGACATTGAGTATTGGGTGGCGAGGGCTCAAATCTCTTCTTGGGTGCTTTCACTGAGTTCTCCTCGGCAGCTCCAGTAGATGCAACATGTGTACTATTTCTACGGACATGATATAGCCTTGGATCCGGGCTGACTGGAATTGGGTTTCTTACTCTCTTACATGAGAGTAACCGAGGCACTTACAAGGCACTGGGAGTTCTTGGTCAGCAAACCTGCACCTCACACTATTGGCTAGGCAGTTACAGAATCCCAGGACACAGTGACACAGGACCATTGTATACAAAAGTGGGTTGAACTTGGATTTGGAAAAGATCCGCATTTCTCAGTGGTCCGTGATCGATCACTGAGCCCGGGCTGTCGTATGGCTGACACAAGACTGAGTCACCAGTCTCGGATTGGCGCACGATGTCATACTGAATTCATGCATAAATCGCTCCCTAACTCGGAGCGACTGATGTGCGCACCCCCCATAAGGCCCAGCCAGGAATGATTTTACGCTTGCTCCGACAGCCGGTCTTTGAATATTGCCCCTTTTAAATGGTGTGCCCTCGACTACACCTTTTTGTTGCAATGGGGTGTGAACGTTCTTGTACATTCACGTACTGCCACTCCGGCAAGTCACTGCCTGTGTATCGCCAGATACATGAATATCCGTGACTGTGACAGTGGTCTCATGATTATACATTTTCATTGCCAATTGTAAAATTATAGCCGGAGTGTGCGGCAGCGTAGACGTCTACAATCTACAATGTCCCCTTCCTGTGCATCTACCTCATTGCAATAAACCGTTTTTCATAATTATAATGCGGTGAGTCGGTAAATAATAATAAAGGTCGCCCCGGCCATGTCACCTCCCTGGTGCCAATGCCATGGTCAGTACATGCTGAGTGTACAGGTACAGTAGATCTGGGCGCTGTCAGTATAGTGTCGTTCGGACAATAGTCCACGGGTTTCTGCCAAGTGTCAAGTTGTCATGCAAACCAAAATGGCGACCTTTCGACTGACGACAGTTCGCCGCGGGTCCGCGGTGCAGTGTAGGCGAAAAAAAGGTCGAAGAAGCTTGACCTGACTTCGAATTTTGTTTTGGTCGTTGTTGAAGCGTTTGAGAAACCCAAGTGGCAAGCTTTTGGTGATGAGCAGCTAACTTTCGCATCGTGCTGCTTTTACACGGCTGAAGTTGTGGATTAGTTAGCCATGTTCTTTCACGTAAGCGGAGTGCTCTGGTCGTGAACCTTCTGTGTGTCGCGCTGTCCAGCTATGTTAGCAAATTCAAACTTTTATTCACTTTTTTGGATTCCATGTTCAGCTGGAATTGGAGCATGAGATTCTACTACATCCTCGGTACTTTGGTAGATCACTACTGGACACGGTGACACGGAAACTGTTCACAGAAGTGGAGGGTACTTGCCATGGAAAGTAAGCTGTGGTCTTCTTGCTACAAGATGCAGAGCTGAAAGAAAAAACCGTTGACTGTTGCCTGCTCGGTTACGGTTTGTTATTGCACAAGCCCCTGCTTAGTTGGTGAAGCCTCTGCTAGTATCGTCCCGAAGATTAAATACCTACTTCCCACCTGTAGGCATTGCCTCACGCAAAGACCTACCTGTATTTTTAGATTGTTTGCCTTGTCTGTTTTGACAATTTTGAATTTTAAACGGAGCATGTGCTGCAACACATCACAGGTGTTTTTTATCCATGGACAGTCAACTTCGCGTATAACGACACTCGGCGGGGCATCAGAAAAGTGTCCTTATTCGCGAGGTGTCGTTATACCCGAAGTCCCATTATATGTACAATACAGTTGGATGTGACTTTGCTCTGGGCATGGAAATTCGGTCGTTATTCGCGAATTGTCATACCCGCCGTCGTTATTAGCGAAGTTGACTGTATCATCATCCCCTTAGAATGTATTCAGTTTTGCTATTCCTAGGCGTTCTTCTTATGTCAATTAACATCTGGTCAGGTTCACGGGCATGTAGTGGACTTCTTGCAATATTGCTTATCAGAAGGAGAGTACGAGCAGTTTTGCGTCATGTATGGGTTGATATGAGCTGGTTTAGTTGAACATGAAACACAGCATTATGTATGCAACGGAGCTGTTCACGTGTGTAACCCTGTAGATGTGGCTTTGTCATTGCCGTCACAACCATCGAGAGTATTGGCGATGGGTTCATTCAACCAGGCAGAGGATTTGTCATCTACCCTGTGAAGTACAAGGTGAGCAGCAAGCTGCTATGAAGGGTGCTGTACCAGATCACTGTTAACCAGTTCAATTACACACCATGCTGGACCTCTCTCTCTGTCTCTCTCTCTCTCTCTCCTGTTGTAGAGGTCTCAGTCATCATTTGCTAGACTTTCCTGTCTTTATAAATGTAAAATGCTCTCTCATTATGTCTATCTGCCCCTGGGTGGTGGCATTTCTACGGACGCGAAATCAATTTCACTCAACCACTCTCTCTCTCTCTCTCTCTCTCTCTCTCTCTCTCTCTCTCTCTCTCTCTCTTTTCGGCCTGTGTGTGTGTATGTGTGTGCGCGCTTATGCATGTGCGTACATATTCATGTATGGAATATCTAGGCTATTGTATTCAGACCTTTCAAGGGTGAGGTTTTAGATGCTGTTGTCAAGGATGTGAACAAGGTCGGCCTGTTCACAGAGATTGGACCACTGCAGTGCTTTGTGTCTAGACATGTAAGTGTGTACCGTAATCATTTGCTGGCATTGTTGTATGGTAGTACCGGTATATTCAGAAAGAACTGGCATGGCAACTTCTTTTTAAAGAGATATTAGTTCCTCCTTCCTATGCCTTCTGCTGCTTCTCTAAGTCCTCTGTACTCGCATCTTGCTGCCCGTCAAGCAGGTCTAGCACTCTTTCTCTCTCTCTCTCTCTCTCTCTCTCTCTCTCTCTCTCTCTCTCTCTCTCTCTCTCTCTCTCTCTCTCTCTCTCTCTCCTCTAGCTGTATGCTAAGCACCGCCGTCACGTTGGTCTCCTTAGTTCCTAGTCTGTATCTTCTGGATGGTGAATGATGACTTGATAGCCTTTTGCAGTGCTGCTACAGTGGTGGTGGAATCACGAACAGCTATGAAGTTTAAGGATGGCAATACTGTAAATCAACTAATTTTCGCTGGCGATTTAATTTCGCTGATTTCGCCGCTGGGTACCAACCGGCCAAAGTAAATCGCAGGCCTAAATTTGTCATAGAGGCAAATGATGCAGAGCCATGGCTGTATGTGAGGGCAACAAATACCAATCGATTTCTTTTTTGAAAACCCCAATTAGCCAAAGTTAAATGACGGTCAAAAGTTTTATTTCGAGATCGGCCAAAGTTTCTCACCGGCCAAAAATTGTTGATTTACAGTAAACAGAAGCAGCTGAAGCGTCATTTCACGAAGGTTTTATTGAGATGTCACGAGCAAAGTAGTAATGTTTGTGTGCACCGTTTGCTGTTCTGTGTTTACAGTCTATTCCTGGCAATATGGAGTTTGATCCGAATTCAAATCCACCCTGCTACAAGACGGAAAACGAGGTAAATGATTACCCTTTGGTGTTGTGGTTTGCGTTAGTTTTTATGGCATTGTCTTGCTTGCAGCACTGTGCTCACACCTTCAATTAGTTGCTTGAAAGGCGTACATGTACATGTAGCCTCTGAGATTTTGTTGACCAATAGGAAGATTACTACTCTGCAGTGAACGAGTTGCGGTCAGAATCAGAACAAAACCAGAGAAGGTTGCACAATTTTCTAGAACCCTGGACAATGAACAGTCCATAGTTTTGGAAATTCTTCCTGAAAAATGGTGTCACGTTCGCTGGTTTCTTCTGATTCCGATCATACCTCCGATCATAGCTCGTTGGCGACAGAGTTCGAAACCATCCTATGGACAACTCCAGTGCTAAATGTACATGTCCTTTTTTCCCTGTGATTGCTGACTATCAAGAATCAAGAAAAGAGAAGGAAAAGGCATTGTGTGCAGCAATGAAGTTTGTTGCCGGAGTGTACAAATAGTAGTTCTGCTCTTGTGTGTGTGTGTCTGTGTCTGTGCGTGTGTACACACACGGACGCGGTGTATTGATGCAGGAAATGGTCATTCAACAGAATGACGAGATCCGGCTGAAAATCGTCGGAACGAGAGTTGATGCGGCCGACATTGTAAGTCGGACGCGGTGTGCCTTGCGCATGCCTGCAAAGGTCTTAGACTCCTGCAATTTGTGCTCCTTTCGCAGCACATGCATCCTTTTTTTGTTGTTGTTGGTGGTGGTGGTACTGCTGCTGCTGCTGCTGTTGCTCCTGTTTTTGTTGCTGTTGCTATTTGTCTGGGTGTTTTGTGTGTGTATGTGTGTGTGTGCGTGCGTGTGTGTGTATGTGTGTTTGTTTGTGTGTGTATGTGTGTGTGTGTGTGTATGCTAACTGTTATTATCTTTCTCGGTTGCTTCTGTACAGTTTGCCATCGGTTCACTCATGGACGACTACTTAGGTAAGATTTTTGGGCATTTGTTTTATTCCGTACCTGGGTAACCAGGGTTGAGGATTTCAGCGTGTTCGGTGTTGTGGTTTAGATTGTTTACTCCATACCCATGTACAGTACGATGTAGTATCAAGAGAGCATAAACAAGAGTATTCAACTGTGGTTATGCGTTAGTACGCGGCACGCTGCCTTCATTGCGTAACTTGCCTTCATCACGCTCTGAAAGCATGCACTCAAACCCACAATTTCTCGTACGAGCCCATCCGTTTTTGCTCGATTCTTTCCAGTACCTACGCGATCTCTAATATTTAATTTTGGCGCGTGAACTCCAGTTCCGCACGAAAGTTCATTTCAAGCCAGAGGGAAAGTGCGGTGTTTTAATTTTCCGCAGTGCGTGGACTGCAGCTGAATGATGTAATGAAGGCAGCGCACCACGCATCTGGCCCATCGAAAAGAGATCACAGTTGCATACTCTTGTTTATGGACTCTTGCTAGTATCCACTGGCGTTGGTGGTGTGATGCTCTTTTTTCCTGCTACCTTTCTTTGTACTTTGCCATGCAGGTTTGACCAGTTAGCCGTCGCACTGGCAAGCGAAAAGCGTTGTACGTCACACAGGGTTCCACGCCTTGGATGCAGCTGTGGTGTTGGCTGCTTGCTGCTTGAGCTCATGCATCCCAATAATACTTGACAAAAAAAAACTTTATTCTCTCCTCATGCAACATTCACTGGTTTGAGCAACATTGACGACATAAAATTCTGCCACGAAAGTAGGCTCATTAAAAATCATCATTTTTTTCCTTCGTTCGTTTTCGTGTATTCAGTGTAAATATTTTAGCTGCTCCCTCTCGTTCTCCCAGCTGATGTTTAACGTTTTGTTTCCTTGTCTTAATGAAGGTCACAATGGATTGCAATCAATCAAAGAACTATTCGATGTGCATTGATGGAGAGGGGGAGAGAGGGATTTGGATTTGGTTTGGGATGACTAGAATTTAGAATTCTTTTCTCCAGCTTGCTGATGTCTGATCTATCTCTATACATTCTAGTACACTTCTTCTGCTGTACAGTTTTCTGGATTGTTTCCTCGAGCAGAAACAAGAAGAAAACACTTGCTGAACTCTGATTGGCTAAGGGCGGTTGACCAATCAAGAGAGGTGGCTCAGGGTTATAGCACGGAGCAGAAGAGCGGAGGCTCTGCTTGTGGGTATCTGAGGGGAGAGTGCATGCCAGGCTGTGGGTATCTGAGGGGAGAGTGCATGCCAGGCTGAAACACAGGTAGGAAATTAAAAAAAAAAAATTCTCATCTTTCCAGCTAACTTTTAAATTTCGCACAAGATTACTTCTCACAAAGCCTGACTGCACGCAGTAGACATGGAGAGCTTACAAACGGAGTGTATATGATTTGCATAAGCTGGCCGTCGTTCTTTTCCTGCAGTACACCAGCATGCGGCCTTTGCCAAGTCCTGCTGGTCCCCCCTCCCGCAGGTAGTCTCGAAATTATGCTCACCGTCTAGCGCGCAACCGCCGGTGAAGAACAGGACGGCCTTTGATGTTCCTTTGGCAGAAGCGATATATTAGAAATTTCTGACAGGAAATGGAGAGATCTTCATAAGTAAAATTATAATTAATTTTGATATCATATCAAAGCTGGTATAGATGATAATAGTTTCAAAGGAGATTTGAGTTACGGTTCAAAATGAATGCAAGTACATGTAGTTTGATGCATGAAGCTTCATGACCAGCTGACTACTTGAGCAAGTATCAGTTGCAGTTGTTCGGAGCAAGCTGTCCTCAGCTGGGAAACAGGGAAGAAGATGCTGATCGGTCATATACATGTATGGAAAATGTGTGGATGAACTCTGAAAACTGAGGGGGGGGGGGGGGTTAAGTGGTAAAACAATTTGTAGCATTGGTTGACGTGTAAGCATGAAAGGGCAGGGGTCCAACACACACATAATCATGTCCTCAAGCAAGACACGCAGTATGATTTTATGCACAGACTTGATGTGCTGTAAAGAGGCCATGAAAGATCTGGACTCAAACATGCACACAGGTATTTAGACAAGACGGGATAGATCAAGCTTTCCATAGGGGCGTCAAGAAAATGTTTCATCAAGTCTGGCCAAAAACAGAGTGTTTCTGTAAAAATGCATAGACGTATCCTCCTTGCCGGTATATCTCTATGCCTGAGGAGGGCCTGGAAGCCGGCTGAGACGGAGTGTGTGTGTGTGTGTGTGTGTGTGTGTGTGTGTGTGTGTGTGTGTGTGTGTGTGTGTATGGTACATGGCGTGTGTGTGTGTGTGTGTGTGTGTATGGTACATGGTGTGTGTGTGTGTATGTGTGTGTGTGTGTGTGTGTGTGTGTGTGTGTGTGTGTGTGTGTGTGTGTGTGTGTGTGAGAGAGAGAGAGAGAGAGAGAGAGAATGCGAGAGTGAGAACGAGTATTGACAGAGAGCGGAACAGCATCAAAAGATGAAGTAAGAAGTGTGGCTATTGTCTACTTCACTTTGTGTGGACTAGATACCTGGCCATGATTGTGATGGTGATGGTGGTGATGATGGTTTCGCCCTGTGCTGGAAAGCAAGGGATTACTGCCACCGAACGTGGGTAATGAGCCAACAACAGCGCGTGTGTCTTCGCTGGAATCAGAGTCACCTTCGGTTGGGGACGCCTTCAGCGGTTTCTTCTTCTTCGGAAGGTTAACTGGCTTGGTGGCGGACGACGTAGACTGTGAACGTATGCGGTGCAACGCTTCTTGGCTGTCACTACTGCGTTGACTGACGCGTATCCCTGGACTGACCTTGCGAATCACAGTGGCCGACTCTGTACGGCGTATGGAGAGCTGCTGAGCAAGCCGTGGTGAGTTCTTGGGTGACGAGTGTACGATGGTGTTATTGGACAAGGTCTGGCGCAGCGGAGAGTGTTTCGGTGTTGGCTCGGTGACTGTCAACGACGGTGTCACGCTATGCTGCTCCTGGATAGGAACAACAACACAGGATACAGGCTAGCGGGTCTTCGTCTGGCTATCTTATCATGCTAGCGTGTCTTCGTCTGGCTATCTTATCATGCTAGCGTGTCTTCGTCTGGCTATCGTATCAGGCTAGCGTGTCTTCGTCTGGCTATCCTAACATGCTGGGGTGCTGCTCTATAATAAGCACTGCATAGGTACTCCACAGTCTCTATCCAGCTAGCCTCTAGTCATTCCAGTCATGCACTAGGCTGCATACACCAAACAAGGCTCTCACTTTGGTTCAACATGCACATCATCATGATTCCATAAGAATGCGATCAGTCAAGTCACACACATTCTGAGTTCAAACGTCATGCATCCACTGCGGGATGATCAAGCATCGTCTGTCTCTCCATGGACCTTCGCAAGTAACTGTTACCACCTGTCTCAGCATGTTCGCAAGGCTAAAAGCTTGTATGATCAGCCATGGGAACAGTAATTTAGTGGTATCGTCTCCATACTGCGTTCAAACGCACAGTGGTGGTGGAGCATCCCGGTTCAACATGCACAAGTCGGAAAGCCAAGCTGGCACTAGACGGTTCTTCATCAGCATCTTTTTGAAGAGATGCATCGATAAATAACAATTAACCATGCATGCGATTCCAAACCAGTGCTTGAGTTCGCTGACAGAAACGTCAATGCAGTTGCCAAATGCCATGCAGGTAACCATTATCTCCGGCAAAGCTAAGACATATCTTCACTGCCTTATAGACTGAAGCATACCGCAGGCCAGCTCTATTCAGGCATCTCCAGCAAAGCCAGGAGATGACGTTGCCACTGACGAACGCATAAAGCAAGCCAGCAGTTGGCTGATCATAACTAACCAATGTGCTCCTGCCCAATCTGACAGCACGCCCAGAAGCATTGCTTGCCGAAGGGAGAGCGCTGCCACTACTGGTACGTCTTGTTTGTAAACATTATCCTTGACCAAATTTTCACACCACCCAATGTGCTGCTATCCAACCTGAAAGTATGTCGAGAAGCATCGCTTCGATTCGCTTGGTAAAAGGAAAGCAGCTGCCACTGTCGGTCTCTCTGGTTTGTAACTACGATCATTTCACTAATCAGGACATCACACTGGTGTTGCAACAGCAGAAGCATGGCACCTGATTGCACTCATCGCTGCAGTACAGTGGAGAGGCGGAACAGCCGGACAACACTCTGATGCCTGAGCAGTGGACTTAGCTAGTCGGCACTCTGCTTCAATGTTTCGTTCGCACATGCATGTAAGCAGTGTGAGCTGGGTATGGTTTAAAAGTAGATACGGTCAGACCTCGCTTATCCGGTCCTCCTTTATTCGGATCCCTCGCCATCCGGGAGAAAATCGCTACTACAGTAGTAGTTACCGATTTACAGCATATGCCATGCATACATGTACATCCCTCGACTATCCGGATATATTAAATTTTGTGGAAAACAGATGTGTGCGGTTATGCGAGGTCTGACTGTATCATACAACCATGCTGTGCACGACCAGCCAACATACACATACGAACATCACACTGACTGTGTTTAACTACATGTGGCTACACTCGGCCATGCGGCTGAGGAAAATCCGATCGGTAGTCGTTCGAGAACTGCACCGTGACTGGCATGGTGAGGCTGGATAGCAGAGCTGCAGGACGAGTCACGGTCTGCATCGAGTTCACTAGTGCCAGTAGCCGCATTTCACTGTTCAGAACTGTTCTCCGGGGAGTCAGTGTACTTTTGGGTGAGCACATAATATACGGGTCAATAGCACACTACTTATGTAATGTGCTACAACACCCGCTTTGTACTAAAACAATAAGCAGCAGCTTTCTCATCACACCAGCAACATGACTCCAAGTTGTAGCTACTGGAAGTCAACAAATATTCGGCGTATATCAATTATCGGCTATTTTCGGCCTGGGCATGTTTGGCCGAAATTTTGTTTTGCAAGGTTTAGTGTGACAGTGTATGCAGGCACCTGCAGTACAGGCCAACAATTTGACGCAGCCGAAACGGGTTTAGCCCTGGGAGGCCGAAATTTGAATGGGCCGAAAATTCGTAGGCTTACAGTACTGACAAAATAAATAAAATTTCCTCCAACTTGGAGTCATCACGATTGCTGGTGTGATGAGGTCGACCAGACAGCGCATGTGGTGGAAGTGGAGTTTCTATATTAAAAACTCGATTCGCATTGGTTTAAAAAATAAATAAATGGAGGTTGAAGCCTGGACATGCTAACTCACCGGTGCAAGGCCATGGTGATACTGGTGAATGAAGGCAGAAATGTCCGATGACTCGCTGGTTGACACGATAAGAGTCGGTGTATGGTACGCCTCCTGAATTCACACGGTACACACGCATACAGGAAAGAAGAAAATAATTAATGTTGAAGAAAGGTTCTGAGCAGGACGTAGTGTTTGATTTTCCGGGAAAGAGTTGCCTCTAACATATAGTCCATAGATTTGTTGGATTGCGGATCAAACAAACCACTATCTCGTAAAGTGTTGAAGGCGACCTGGCCCATCACTGGTGAGCAAATCACCACATTGAACGGAGCTCTGAGGTCCATAGCAGAGTTCCATGCAATTTCTGTTGATATGTGCAGGGACACAAGTATATGACTAGGAGTCTGAATCATCCTATGGATATTTTTAGGACAATTGTGCCCAACGCATCTTTCCGGGGGGGGGGGGGGGGGGGTATTTCACCCCATTTCCATCAATGGCCAAAATAGTTCATGTGAACTAAACTAGAAATTTCCAACCAAATCTAAGGTACAATAGAGGATTTAGGTGGATCCTGGCCTGGTGTGTGTGCCTGTAAGAAAACAAGCTGTTAGCACACATCTACTCAGATCAGGTCCAGATCTGCACCCAAGAGAAGAGCAAGTATTTGCATTCGTTTGCGATGCAGAATTCACTGTCCCTCCCCCCCCCCCCCCCCCCCCCCGAGATGCATGCGACGGACCGTGACACTCACAATGGTTAGAAGCTCTCCTGTAGCGTGTGCTCTGAAGATGTTCTTCATTGCCCAAGTGGCAAGAATCTGTCCGCAGAGGAACCAGGGTAAGTACAGAGAACATCAGAAGAGAATGTACAGAACATAAACATGAGAGAGAGGCAACACTGCACAAGACACTGGACAAGACAGGCCGCACTAAGCTCAGTGCCGGGTAAAGTGGCACTAGCATAGCTACAGTATATGTATACACCTAAGGGAAATTCCTGGTCCTGGAAGATGCATAACCAAATAGCTGGAACGTTTCAGTTTATGCCGGAGCTGGTTAACAATTACAGGATCATTGGAATGGATGTGTCTATCTAAATCTGCCCACATATAAAACTGCAACAAGCCTCAACACATCTTCGAAGCCTTCATATCGGGTAGAGAACAAGCTCACCGAGCTACAATAAGCACTTTACTGTACAGGTACCCTCTAAGCAAACTCACCTCCTTGGTCTTTTCATCCAACTTGTACATATTGCGAGGCGTCAGCGCAAGAATACACTGCTTCCCCTTCTCCTTTTTCGATACGCGCTCCTGAAAGTACACACACACACACACACACACACACACACACACACACACACACACACACACACACACACACACACACACACACACACACACACACACACACACACACACACACACACACACACACACACACACACACACACACACACACACACACACACACACACACACACACACACACACACACACACACACACACACACACACACACACACACACACACACACACACACACACACACACACACACACACACACACACACACACACACACACACACACACACACACACACACACACACACACACACACACACACACACACACACACACACACACACACACACACACACACACACACACACACACACACACACACACACACACACACACACACACACACACACACACACACACACACACACACACACACACACACACACACACACACACACACACACACACACACACACACACACACACACACACACACACACACACACACACACACACACACACACACACACACACACACACACACACACACACACACACACACACACACACACACACACACACACACACACACACACACACACACACACACACACACACACACACACACACACACACACACACACACACACACACACACACACACACACACACACACACACACACACACACACACACACACACACACACACACACACACACACACACACACACACACACACACACACACACACACACACACACACACACACACACACACACACACACACACACACACACACACACACACACACACACACACACACACACACACACACACACACACACACACACACACACACACACACACACACACACACACACACACACCTCAGACCTGCCCATCGCAGAAGCGATGATAGCGAACAGCTATGTTAGACATAGCAACTTGTGCTGGGATTACACCATTCAACAGCTTGCAAGGCTGATGAATTGACCGCCACTAATTTAGCCTGGTATCCACCACACAGCTGATTGAAGTAGCTATTTTTTTGGCCACTGAATCCCTATTTTTCATTTTTTCACTTTTCTTTTTTTTTTACACACACACGCCACACCACATACTCGGGCATACACTGGCTGTTGGTAACCACCCAGGAGAATGAAAGAAGAGCTAGGAGAATGAGAAAGAGAAGAAAGACGTGTGCGACCATAATCGTCAGGAATTGAACCCGCAACCTCTCGATTGGAAATCGACTGCACATACCACTGCACCATATGGGACACACACACACACACACATACACACACACATACACACACACACACACACACACACACACACATACACACACATACACACACACACACACACACACGAGTGCGCGCGTATACACACACACATACAGCCATTCATCCCCAGAAAGCAACACGAACACAAAACATGAGGGGACTCACAAAATAGAAGCAGATAAAATAGAACAGCATGAGCAATAGCAAAACGGGCTACCCACAGCACAAGGCAAGCCTTTAAAATACACACAGAGCTGCACTACAGCTGTATGATGCCATGTGAGTGAGGAAGATTAGCAAACTCATCAACTCAAGGGAGAACAAGTTCAACCATACCTTGACATGGTAGACGCGAGCATTGTACGTTTGCAGACCCTTGCAGAGCTGTACAAAGCGCTTCTTGGCTTGGTTAAAAGACATGCCGGTGAGCATAGAGTATTGCTGCAGATGCAAAGCACAATGCCAGTACAAACATTGCCATTAACACTGGTCACTGGGTAAGAGAGAACACCACCGTGATCACCATTACAAACACTTTCTTCAATACTTTGGAGGCCGCTTCACTGCAGCTAATCAATCACCTCTACAAAACCTCACGACCACGGTTTGGAGATTTGGAGAGTAACTAATTTATTGAACTTGCAGTGAACGACCGCGGTTGTGAAGGTGTGGGAAATATGACCATTACAAATACTGCATTAGTGCATTTACACTGGCTCAGTTGTGTCTTCAAATCTTACATTGTACATTGCAAACCAATAGGCAGAGTCAACATTCATTGCACTGCAAACGGCACAAGTCATCCCGACAGAATCCTTCAGGCTTTTGTGGACAGCTGGAAGAACCTTGATAGAGGCCAAGCGAAAGTCTACAACGTAAAAAAATAAACGCCTGAATAGTTTGTTCAGCCGGTTCGGGTGAAGGACATAGTCAGCCTGGTTTGCATGCTCCAGTTCTGTACAGTGAGCAGTCGCCGAGCGCAAAATGACATCCAATTCCCTTCCAACCGATCGCTGTCCATAAAGAGGGAACAACTACAGTCCTGCTCAATGAAATCCAGTCGCGTCACTCAAGTTTGCGCCTTGCACCATTTCGCAGCCCAGTGTTCGCAGGTCTAGGGCTGCACTGGCAACGCCCCGGGCGCGTACTTGAGGGAAGCGACTGGATTTCATTGAGCGTGATTGTAGTATATCCGATGCCTGTTGTGATCATGATCACACATAGCACCACTAACTTACATCACTGCAAGCATGCACACACACCAGTACTCACATGCATGAGTTTCTTGACATGCTTCGTTTTCAGAGAAACACAAGTCACTGCATCCTTCATCCTATACACAAAGCACACACAAACACGCAAAACTGAGCGTCATTACTCTAGATCTGCGGACAGCATGCTGTTTTGTCCTTTGTGGACTCATCAACACAGTGCCGTTTTATTTTTTTAATGCTCTCAACACAAACACACCAATACCAATATAAAATGCTGTCAATATACACAAGAATAGACATACAGTAGTTACATGAGAATAGAACGTGAGATAACAAGCAGGCAGTGCAGAAACTCAACCTATACAGCCACACTACACACCACTTTCAAGTGGTGTGTAGTGTGGCCGTATATGTTGAGTTTCTGTCTCTGATCTTTCCTGGTCCATCAAGCACCTTTTCAAAAATGTGCTTGATGGAGCAGAAAAGATTGGCCAAATTACAACAGAATACCATCAACTAGTACTTACGCCTCCGCGATCCCTTTCAGTTGATCTTTGTTCAACTGACTCTGACTGCCGTACATGGCTTGAGCGAAAAAGGCAAGCATCTAAAACAACACGGCCATGCACATTCACACATACAAAAACACCCAAAGAATCAGGATTGCACTTGTTAGAGGCCTTCTAGCAGCTAACGCTTATGAAAAAAGTGAAAAGGGATCAGTACCAAATCTCGTTTTCTCTAGATTAGAAGATAATATAATCTTGTTCAACAACAAAAAGAGCTGCAACCAGTGATAGTTGAGGATCACAGGAGAACGTCAAGTATATCCACCTTCAACTACTGACTCTAATGTAGTACGGTTCACAACTCCACATAGCACATAGCAACGCTTGCATGGACTGTATGTATACTAGTAGTGCATGTGCCGAGTTATTTGCTATAAAACCAAGGGAAAAAAAGAAAAAAAAGAAAACTAGTAGCAGAGGATGGTTTCGATCCATCGACCTCTGGGTTATGGGCCCAGCACGCTTCCGCTGCGCCACTCTGCTTGCCACACACACTCATTGATCAAATATGATGTAGTACTGAGTGGTCAGTGTTGGCATCTTTTTGGGAGCGTATTCGGGGAGATAAATTGAAGCCTGTGACCAACCAAAATGTCAGCTGTCAGTCCAAACAGGTCCAATAGAAGAATATGCCCCATTCATTCTCTACATAAATATTATGAATGCACTCGCCTACGGTATATATACAATGTGCACAGTACTCCGAGGAATATTCCAAACTTTTCTCAGTATATTCACTCTCATCTTTAGAAGAGGTGGAGTTAGTTGTTTCAGGTAGACTTCCCCCATTCTAAAGAGGCCAATAACCTTCTTGCTGCTCACCTCTTGTCTCACTGTTTGTTTGTCCTTTTTTCTTTCACTCTCTCCTTTCTCAGCGGTCAGGCTTCTTCTCGTTTCGGTCGGTTTTCACAAATAACGAGTTTTGCTTCTCGGAAAATGTGGCTTATTTGTCTCATTATAAAAGGGGGGGAGTCTGTTCAATACAGTTTTGAGTCGTCAGACTCTTGTGGCGAGCAGAGTGGCGCAGCGGAAGCGTGCTGGGCCCATAACCCAGAGGTCGATGGATCGAAACCATCCTCTGCTAAAAGTATCCTTTTTTCTCCTTTCTCTTGATAGCCTCTTGCAAGTTCACACAACAAAATAATGCCAAGGTCCGGTACTACCGGTATGCAATGACCCTATTCGAGCTGGATTTTTCTTCGCCGTGTTTCACCTTCCGCACTGAGTCAAGGCTGAAGGATAAGCTCTCAGGTATTAAATGAAAGGAAAACATGGAGTAGAAGATGCTCAGGTCGGTTAAGACGCACACACAGACAAGCACGCGCGCACATGAACACACACACACTTACATTTACTGCCTCTTTGTGGGTACACAATAGTCTACCCTCAGCCAGTTCGTCCTTGCACTGTGTGAAAACAGAACAAAAAATGCAATGCACAAGCTACCAACAGAAATCATTCAGTTTGTCTCAGTACCACCCACACAGCCTTACCAAATGCCAGTGCCCAATTTCTGCCAGGCCAGCGTTAGGCATACACTGGAACGCAGGTTTCACAAGGCTGTCGAATACAATGGCGGGGCGAATCAAAAGCGATTGAGGTTCCGTACAACTGTAGCATAGGTACTGTATCACATGCAATTGGTATTCACAAAACTTGTAGGTATTTATGGTAAGCTGTGCACATATTCACACTGCCTTTCACACTGCCTTTGTTTTCTTCTCCTCCTTGTAAAGGGACAACTAGCAAACCGTAGTGGTGCCTTGGAGAGTATGAGGGTTACATTGGTGGCAGTGGTGGGATAATTTTGAACCCACACCTCCGGAGAGACTGGAGGCTTTATTTAACGTGGTATGCATCCGCAACTTGGTCCAGACAGACATTATTAGCTCCTTTACAATAATAAAAAATTCTAAGAATATCACGTCGAGGCTGTTGCTTCCTTCCTTGCAGTTTCATCATGACTAAATTACCTTGATGAATTCGTTATCAGATTCATCATCAATAGAGAGTGTCTCGGCACTGTCAAGATCAGAGTTTGCCATGATCTCAGATCGTCTTCTGTAAAACACACAAATGCACAAATGCACAAATGCACAAACACACACACACACACACACACACACACACACACACACACACACACACACACACACACACACACACACACAGGGAGGTCAGAATTCGAGAAGGATAGAGCAGGCTCCACATACTAAAGAAAAGCTTGCTCTTTCACGAGAAAGAACTTATTGACTAGGCGAAGATCTGCTTACCCTTAGAACACCAAGAAATTCATGCGTGCCTGGATACGAGTATTGAAAAACTCTCAGATCATTTGTGTAGTGTACATTATCCAAAATTAGAACAGAAAACATTGCATTGTGTCATGAACAACTGCCGCGATGGTGAATGAAATTTTTCTGTAGTAGATCGTCAAAAATTCTTAGGCATGGCATTACCACCAGGACTCAAACCAGGGACCCTTGCTTATGCCATAGCCAGCGATGCTCGCCCACACAGGTTTGGTGTTGCCATTATCCCAGCAGCGATTGTTTAACATTTTCTTCAGACTTTGAAACTCACGCGTCCTGTGAATCAACACACCACTGACTGCAACATTATTGCTGCCTGTTGCAATATTTGCATAACTTTAAAGAAATTACGCACAAAATGGATTCCCTTAGGAAACCTGTTCAAAGGTTCGGTAGGTTGACAAGAACTGATCCCTTCAACTTGGGATATACAATGAAGTCCTTTTATCAATGGAATCCACCTGACAATGTACAGTGCCGCTCAATGAAATACAGCCGCTTCACTCAAGTACGCGCCAGGCGTTGCGCAGCCCTAGACCTGCGAACACTGGTCTGCGAAATGATGAAAGGTGCGTACTTGAGTGGCCTGATTGGATTTCATTGAGCAGCACTGTAGATCAAGACATGGTCCACCCTGGCAACGGGGTGGTCAACCCTGGCAACGGGGTGGTCCACCCTGGCAACGGGGTGGTCCACCCTGGCAACGGGGTGGTCCAGCCTGGCAATGTAGACCAAGGCATGTTCCACCCTGGCAATGTAGACCAAGGCATGTTCCAGCCTGGCAATGTAGATCAAGGGGTGATCCACCCTGGCAATGTAGATCCAGGGGTGGTCCACCCTGGCTATGTAGATCAAGGGGTAGTCCAGCCTGCCAATGTAGACCAAGGCATGGTCCACCCTGGCAATGTAGATCATGGGGTGGTCCAGCCTGGCAATGTAGATCCAGGCATGGTCTACCCTGGTAATGTAGACCAAGGGGTGGTCCAGCCTGGCAATGTACTACTTACTTGAGATGCAGCAGCAGTTGTGGATGTGGGCATATGCCTTGCTGGTCCAGTGTACACTCATTATTCAGGACAGCACCATGCGTAAGTTGTGCTGCAGAGCAGCATGGCAAGAAGAAACCAGAAGGAACACATGAACACTTCACAGGACACATCCATACAAGAGCGTTGATCATGATTAGCAAAGGCTGTGTGCCCTTTGACACTTAGTTGGAGCTTGAAACGTCCTGAATGGTTTTTAGATCTGCCAACCTTTAAATCTCGGGAATACTCAAGTGAGACCTGTGATACGGTAGCTGTTACAAGTCACAGGACATACATGCGTCGACGCCTTACGTTCCTCTGCGGACGATTTCCGCTTCCAGATGTCGAATTTCCTTCCTCTAGAGGACTTGTGCGACTTGGCAGTGGCCTAAGGCAACACAATGCGAGAACACACTCTCACAACATTGCATGGCTGCGAGAACACACTCTCACAACAATGCATGGCTAATGAGATCGCCCGGCAAGAAGCAAGCAAGTTGCATGACATCCAGCTGATGTGGGAGATCTGCTGATGACACTCAACATACTGATGAAGATGATCTAGTGTAGCCATGCAATTAGGATCTAGGGTTGGCATGCAGTCATATGTTCCTAAGCCATGCAGTACCAACAGGAATCTAAGGAGGGTTGCACGAAAGGTATAAGGAAGCTACCAGTAGATTTCACACGTCGAGATTGTACACCAGGAGATCGCCATACCTTGGTAGCTCCAAAGTTGTCTTCATCTATGTACATACAGTAGCCTTCGGGATCAGACAGGCCTGTTGGGAGTCAGGTGTGAACCAGCAGCAGCAGCAGCAACAGCAGCAGCACACCAACACGGACATTATCATATGGACCGGACTTGGCCTGATGCGATGCGGGACCGCAATTATTTCCCAACGCAATGTTGTAGCCAGAGAAGGCATTTTCCATTTCATTCACCAAGGCACGTGTGTATTACCAGCAGCCTATTTAAGGGACACCAATGGTTTTTTTAGCCCAGCACTGCATCCAATATACACATAGATACTTTTGGCTTCAGTATGAGCCTCCTGTACTTCAGATGGCGCAGCAAGGGCCATTGGATCGGTATTATTGTTGATTGCCCATCTTATCTGCAATGGTACTTAACCTTGGTTAAGTACCATTGCAGATAAGATAGGGATGTTGTAAATGTGCCCAATGTGATGATCAGTACTGATCAACATGAAAATGCACTTTGAGGACATTGAAACTGTCACTGAACCTCAATCAGGGAAACCCCCTTTCTGTTCAATTCTGTGAAGGGTACGATGCAGAGGAACATGCAACCCCCGTCGCCACACATACACACTGTACATGCACTGTACCGTACCATTCACTTCACACAGTGTCTCGATAATCTCCTGAACTGTAACGGTGTCTTCAACCTGAGGACAAATGTTTTCGACACAAAAAAAACGGAAAGGATATCGTCAGATTGGAACATCACGACATGAATACCATCCATCTAAAAGTATCAATTTTATTCTTCAAGTCATTTCAAGTGAAAGTTAGTCCGTGATAACACTATAAAATTGTCGATCAGTGTCCATGCAATACGGTGATTCTGATTCATTGCACGCAATAGACAAAAAGGAACGCCAACACCATTCACCATAAGAAGCAAATCAGACGAGGAAAAGGCAACACTGGGTGGTAAGGGGCACAATGAGACACAAGGAAATACAGCAATGCTCTATTTTCTCACAGATACAAGCTTGGCTCCATCGTTGGGCACTTGTACGGACACTTCCATTGATAGCTCGGAGTAGTCGGGAGCCTGAAGCATTTGCCCAAACACACATACACACACACACACATGCACAAAAACACACACACCCGTATGCCCAAACAAACACACATAAACTCACATGCCCAAACACACACACACACACACACACACACACACACACACACACACACACACACACACACACACACACACACACATACACACATACCCATGCCCAAACATACACACACAATCCCAAAACACACACACACACACACACACACACACACACACACACATACCCATGCCCAAACAAACACACACATGCCCGGTGAACACACATGTGGTGACCCTGTACAGATAGTCACTACCCACTACAGGGCCGGCGGAACCGGTCAGGCTGGTCCGGCCATGGCCGGACCACTTTCCCAGCTGGATGGTCCATGTGATTCGTGCAAAACCGGTGTAAAAAGTCCAGAGGTACACGACTAGTCGTGTCGACTCGTACTGCCGACGTGTGATGTGCTTCGAAGTAGCTCAGGACTCTGTGACCGGCACTGTATGGCTTTAATCATAATTATGGTTGAAAAAAAGTTGTGTTTGTGTTCTTTTACTATAATTTTCTGCATTTTTCTGGAGCCTTAAGAGACGCCCAAATTCGCTCTATTTCACGTAAATTTTAAATATTTCTCCCGGGGGAGATCCCCCGGACCCCCCTCAAAGGTTGGCCGCACCACTCCCAAACTCCTTCCTCCGGCCCTGCACTACAATTGTAATACATGCTAACTATACACATTCACTATCACATACAGTACAGTACAGTACAGTACAGTACAGTACAGTACAGTACAGTACAGTACAGTGCAGTACAGTACAGTACAGTACAGTACTGCACAGTACAGTACAGTGCAGTACCAACCTGTCACGTGCATGCCTCTACCACAGTTTATCATCCATGTTCATCAGTGCACACACCATTCTTTCCTTTTCATTTGATATTGATAAGACCTAGACAAAGATTGATGCAAGACCTAAACTGTTCATTACCACAGAGCTGTCTCTATTGCCAGTCCACTGTTCTTCTGTTCAACTTCGTGCTTCCATTTACCTTTAACGTTAGCTCCCATACTTCAACACTTTACTCTTTGCTGACTTTAGCACAGCTCACTGATCGTTCGCTGCTGCCGTTGTCCTAGCTCCTAACTCCCGGCCTCTACTCTTTCCCTTACTCTCTTTTTGCTATATTAGAGCTTGCTTTCCTTTTAGTCCTTCGGAGAGAGAGAGAGAGAGAGAGAGAGAGAGAGAGAGAGAGAGAGAGAGAGAGAGAGTTTGACTAGACTGAGTTAGTGCTACATCTTTCCTCACTATTTCCATCATCCCTAGGACATTTTAAAACTGAATCCGCAACTGACTTCTTTGTGCTCCGAGTTGTCCATTACGCCTGGGTTTGGGACTAAGAAGTGCACAGTGTGACATATACTTTGTGCCAACGGACTTGCCTCGTTGGGGTTACAGATCCGTAGAGAACACAATTAGCCTTAGGACACTTGGTGCTGTGACCAGGATTCTTATTGGTCTCAGTCAGAAGCCAGTTCAGCTGCTACGCAGTTCTTTTCTCTCTCTCTCTACCTTGCTCCGTGCAGCATGAGTTAGGTACGCCATGGCTTGGACGATGGGCACAACAACCTGGTGCCACACTGGCTCAGCCAGGGCACTGCACCATCTCCGGGACGAAATGTCGTTCCTGGAACGCATAGTAGTAGGATTTATACCGAAGAATGTTGATGAAAAACTGCGGGCGGCCGCCATCGTCGAAGACGAAATATGTGGCCACACTCAGCCACCGCATGGAGCACAACCTGGTTGCCCTCAACGTCCGCGCCCAGTTGCACGAATTCACCCGAGATCAGAGTCGAGAAATCGCTCCAGGAGCCCGCTGGCACGGCGTGGGAACGACAATGCCCGTCCAGCCCCAGGGGCCGAGGAGAAAGACAAGAGCACAGCGGTCACCACCGACAGGTCGGCCAGTGACCCACTTGCACTGGAAGAGGCTGAAATGCCCGCAGAACTATGACTCGCGTCTTGTGCTCTGGCACTAATGTTGCACTGCCCCCCCCCCCCCCCCGCTGTACGCCTGCCTGCTGCAATAACTTACTTACTTACTTCGCTGACTACACTTAGTCTTCGCACCGCTGCATTTGCCATGCTATGGTTTGCATGCGTCGAAATGCTGTGTGTACGCTACAATTATTATCTCTGATGGTAAAATAATCTTACGTTTGTGACGATACAGGGTCAGAACCACGGCCTGCCTCAACCAGAATACTGTGTTCTGTTGTGTGTGTACGCCTCGCCGGCTCTTGGCATCTGGTACGGGTCTTGCATGGCGCGATGAATAGTTCTCAATGTACTTCGTGTTAGAAGAGCAAGACGTGATTGTTCGTGTGGTGAACAAAGAGATAGTTCCGTATGAGAATATCGAAACTGACCGTGGAAGGGCTCAAGTGAGAATCACAACCGGGATCAAGAGGCGAAGCCATTATATATTCAACATGGGGAGGCAAGTTCGGTTTAAAGTGTTGGGTATAAAGCAATATCCGGACACCGATCTCCACAGACGTTAGCTAACCACCAGCTGTACTGTATCGATACGAAGCCCGCCGTGATCAAGCTATACTATATAAGGGGGGTTCTAGCACAAAGGTGAACCCGGAAGTGACCTTTCGACAGGTTGATGTGAACGTGTCACGTTTCGACGTGACCTTGTCGGAAATGTGACAGGATATTTACACAATTAGTCATTATTTTATTTTGACGTGTTTCTGCCACGTGCTTGTCAGAAATGTCATGATTATGCATGTCCAATTGCTTTGAAGACATACTAGTAGGGAAATTTCTGGTAGAGCAGTACGAATACTATCACGGAAGAATCACGCATGCAACATACATGTACGTTGATTGAGTCGGTGGGGGATCTGCCGTCTCGCTGCGCCATTCCAGCATGCCATCGGTGGGGCACTCCTACTATTTCCAGCTCAGCTGCCACTGGCTCTCTCTTTCCAGTACTCCTAAATCTGATTCATCATGCGCTCCCAATGCTATAGATCGCCTTGATAATGACGAAGTAGATGATAGCGCAGAGTCGTTTCCCCAGTCTCACCACATGCCCGCTAATTGTCAGCCATAACAGCGTGCTGGTCATGCACCAGGCCAATATTTCCGTATTTGTCGACCGCCCGGTCAGCAGTACTGAAGTAGGTTCTTCCATCTTAGTTTCTTGACTAGGAGCCTAAAGCTCTGTTAACTCTTGCTCGTGTGAGTTTTCAACAAGTTAGCAGTGACTGTAGGTGTAGCTTGTACTAGCTTCTGTGACATACCCCCCCCCCCCCCCCTGTTTAACTTGCAACTGCAATACTGCGAGCGGTCAAGTCGTTGCATGACGCTTCGTCAGAACAATCAGTTCCGTTCTGCAAGTGCCACATTGTGGCACTGCAGAAATTTCATGAAAACCAGATGGATTCTACGGCATTACTACATGGAGAGCGACCTACCACAAAGACGACTCATTTATCGAATGAAAGGAAATCTCGACAGAAGTTTTTCTTTGCAGCAAGTTGTTGACAATCGCTTTTGCAGAGCCTCCTGGTAAGACATAGGCAGTTTGCAGGCATTACAGCCGTTTTCGTACGCATTCGACCTTCATGCCAGTTTTCTACAACAATATTGACCTGAAAAAGACGAAAATAGTATGGACTCGCTGGGGTGGGTGTTTGCAGCGAAGTGGGCGTTTGCAGTGAAGTGGGCGTTTTCAGCGGACTTTACGGTATTTCTACTGTAATACATGCTTACTGTACACATTCACTATTCCATGCAGTGCAGTATCAACCTGCACAATCCCATGCAGGGCTATCAACCTGTCACACGCTGTGCGTGCCTCTACCACACTTTCTCATCCATATGTAAGCTTGTGCTCAATTTGTTCTTTCCGTTTTTACAAACTTGAACCGTCACCCCGCCCCCTTCCTCCTCCCACCCCCAAGATACAACTCCCTCTCCCATCCCCGGCATACACCTCCTCCCCCCCCCCCCCCCCCACCACGCCGCAACAGCAGTAGTAACGGCAATTGTATAACTCACACCCAGATCCATCTCATCCAGTGCCAGTGAGCTGGTGTGTGTGATACCATTGGGCCGCAGCGGCGACAGCATCTCGCAACCATCAATAGAACCCTCATCACCTGCATCAACATCACTGTGTCCATGGCGACTGGACATGGTCAGCGATCGCGGACTGCCGCTGCCCGCCCGCAGCTGGTCCAGTTGCTTGGTGAGGCTGTCGCGCGCCGACTCGGCCATGCGTCTCTCCCGTCGCTCCTGTGCCTCGGCGGCATGTGCCTGCTGCACGCGTAGCCGGGCTTCGCTGAGGCGCTTGCGTAATCGAGTCACCTGTGCCGTGTGCTCGCCGGCTAGGTGTTTGACATGTTGCGACATCTTGTCGCTCTGCTCGTCCAGTGCTACCTGTGCCGCATTCACCGTTACCTCGACCTGTTGCTGCAGGGTGCGGAGCGTGGCTTCCAGTTCAACTTGCCGCTGCGCACCGTGCAAGAAAGGTGAGCCAAGCGTACACGGCCAGCGATGGTATTCGTCTGACGACTTGATGCCTTCCACGTTCTTGCGGATTTCGTGTATGCTGGGCCGCGACGAGCTGGCATGGCCCGGCGACTGATGGCCGTTGGTATGCATGAAGCCATCGTCGATGCAGACCGTAACCAGAGGTTCAATGAGCGGTGCGACTTGACGCAGCGCCTCCAGATCATCAGCTCGTCGTTCCAACTCACTCACGAGTACAGTGCTCATGCCGGCAGTGGTGGTGGATGCGTTTGGTGTAGCATGCGGTCTGGCAGTGACGAGCGGCTCACGATGCAGCAGCATTGCCATCAGCAGGACGGCAAACGAGAAGCAATCCACGCTGGTCTCGTAGCAGTCTCGCAGTGACAGCAGCGGCAGGTAGCGCTCAGCATTCTCGCTGTGCTGAGCACAGGACGATGACAACGATGACGGCGAGCCACCACCACCACGCTGGTGTTGCTGTGCTGGCACGTCTAGCTGAGGGGGGTTAGCACTGCTGGAATGACTGGATGAAGGACAGTACAACTTGGCCAGTGCCAAGTTCGTGTCAGTCAGTTTGACAACTCCGGAGATGCTCATCAGGACATTGCTGCTGCACAGGCTGCCATGCACGACTGGATGAGGCAAACTGTGCAAGTAGGTCAGGGCGCTCAACACCTGTGTGCTCACATCCAGCACATCTCGGAATGACAAGCGCGGACCAAAGGCAATGCGCTGCGCAAGGCTTTCCGACAGCAGCTCGCTGATGATGACTGGCCGACCGTCGGTGTCGATAAACACACCGTGGAGCTGGGCAATGTGCGGATGACACAGGCGACCCATCAGGTTACATTCTTGCAGCACGCGACGCTGATATGGAGTAATGTTACGTCCGAAGTCGAGCGACGACTCGGCAGGCGAGTTTGGGTACTCTTCCTTGGGTGGCAACAAGGTTTTGGCTGCCACGCGAGTGCCGCACCACTCGGCCGCGCGAACGTCGCGAGCACCAAACGAACCGGAGCCGAGGCGAACATCGGTGATGCGGATGTTCTGCAAGGTCATTTCGGTGTTCAGGCGTATTCCCATCGTCCGCCAGCTTTTCCTACCCAGACGCTTCTCAGTTCCTCCACTGCCAGTGCTAGTAGTGCTGGGGCTAGATGCTGCAAAACTGAGTGACTGAGCAACACCTCCTCCGTCGACATCCTCATCGACGGGCTGGTAGAATCTGCTGCGAGAGCTCATTGCAGCTGGTGTTCATAAAGGATTGGCAATGCCACTCGACAATACTGCTAGCAGCTAGCAGGCCGATCTCGCCAGTAACTTTACAGAAGCGTATTGTCGTCTCACGTCCTAGGCCTCGACCAGTGCTGTTTCTGCTCGTAGACCTACGCTACCACTGCTGGTGAATTTTTATTATAGCTTGCAGGCAATTCAATTCTCGCTTCAAGTTGCTGGAGTAGCGCAGCCCAAAACAGCTCCAGCTCAGGAGGTCGTTCACTGGGGTAGCTTGTAGCCGCGTTCTGTGCAAGAGCACTGAAATATTTTTTTGAATGGGTGAGACAGGGCTGCCGAGCCCACGAGCCAAGCGAGCATTTACGTCTTCACTTGCTCACATCACACTCCAATCCACGTTGTGCAGCGCAGTTACGAGGAGGGAGATCCAGCTAGCTACGGCAACAGAGGTAAGCGCGTTTGTAGCTAGACGTAGACATCGACGTATACAGATAAAGATGTGCGCAGATGACAGTTTTTGGTGCGTTTCTGACTGACCTGCCAAGACTTCGCTCACTCGTACTGCTATGACTTGCACCTCGTTTTATTTTCATACTCCGTCAACTCTGGCAGTACCTGTCACAGCAGCAGCGCGAGAACAATACTGCATGTGGAAAACACTCGAAAACTATAACATTTCCCCAACTGGCCCAAGTGCTTTGTTTCAGATGCACAGGACGATACATGCACTTGCTGTCACCACATGCTAGAACCTAGACCTGTGACTTGTGAGTGTGATGCCTAGCTATCAAGGGACTACGACTCATGATACAGTGTACACAGACTAAGTCACTTGCCCAGGGTTGTTGAACCAGTCCAGTAGTGCCTTGGCGAGGCCTGGTGTCAGAGTGAGCGAGCGATGACCCACAATAAGAATTTTGGCTGTGCTTATTATCCGTGCTGGCAAGAATGACGGGAAACGAGGGGAGGATGTGGGTGTCTACCTGGCCCATACTCTACATACTCTGGCACACCACTGCCAGTGCCACCACACTCTACATACTCTGGCACACCACACTCTACATAATATTTATGCCATGGTGAGGGTAAGCAGCCCCTCGCGAGAGTCTGCGACGAGAAACAGAGTCAGGGTCATCAAGCTGAGGCAGAGCGACGATCGCACGAGATGTGGACTTCCTCCCTGCGGGCAGGCGCCTGGCCCATGCACTGCACACTGTACTGGCAGTTCCTACCATGCCTTGTGAGACGGACAAGCTTCGGACGGGACTGCCCGGCCTGACCGCTTCATGCAGTGCGGCAACTTTCTGACCCGCGGCTCAGTAGGGGTGGTCACTGGAGCCAGACTGCTCGAAACGCCGAGGATGAAGCGATATATAACACATCCGGTACGAACAATGGAGCATTTACGGGTATATCATACATTTTAGAGAGCTACAGGACACTCAATAGTATTAGTAACATAATTGTACACGGATCTCCACGTATTAGCTGTAAGCCGTCAATGGGTGCTTTAGTTAGTTTGTTTTCTAGTGGGAGTTGGAGGAGAAGCAAATCGTCGGGAAAATCACTCACCCGGATTGAAGAAAAGGTAATGTAAACTAGAGTCAGTGGACATGGTGGACCATGGTACATGGTGGACGTCACTACATGAGCGGTCATGCCGCATAGAAAGCACACAGTAAGACATGGACAGTCAGTAGCGTGATTATGCACAGCTAGCTACCGGTGTGGCCAAGAATAGACGACGGCATAGCGGGATAGACCACCAAGGCAGCAGGAAAAAGGAAACGGGGTCGCCCGCACCCCGGTTGCTAAATCCCAGTGCAGACCTGGAAGTGCAGTAAAAACCTACTGTCCGCCCAGCTCAGGGAGGGTGAATCATGGGTCAAGGATCAATCGCTGTCCGCAGCTTGCATGCATGACTGCGAATGCGAGAGAGTTGGCGACAAGCCGCAACGCACACTGACACTGTCATACTGCGTGGGCAGCAAGCCAGTAAAACTAATACTAGTAATACTGTACTAGCAGCAAGCCTGGCACAGGAGAACAAAAAACAAAGCCTTAGGAGATGAGTGAAGCAGAACTGATTTAGAGCAAATCCTGAATACGCTCTGTCATGCATGACGGAAGCTTTCGAAACGGATACCTCCGTCCTACTCCTACGAGTCCTAGCCTAGCCGAGGCTACATGATGTACATGTAGACCCTACTCTGACTCTGAGCTGGCCGTGTAAGTGTAACAGAGTAAAACTGGAACTACGATTCGCCACTATCGGTTTAGAAGAACAAACAAAAGGGAAGAGAGCTCTGGAGCCAAGCACTGAATAAGTGCGTTTGGTCATTCTGTCCAAAATGAGAAGCAGCCGGGATAGATACTTTTTACCAGGGACTCCCTGCTTTTTTCCACCAGTGCTAAAACCATCACTCAAAGAGTCACCGAGTCAGTGAGTAGGTGAGTAACACTAACACTGTAGTAACTGTTGCATCATGTCAACATCACTTCGCCGTTCGCGTGACTTCACGTATAAATCCAAGTGGTCATCTGGTCATGGCCCATGATCTGAGACTGAGGCATGACCAAGCGCCGGCGCCTGCCTCAAGGGAGCTACGTGGATGGTGCTTGATGTCACTTGTCAGACTCGTATCATCAGAGCTAATCTAGTAATCAGTAATCTCCGACTCTCACGTGCATATGCCGCCATGCGCCATGCTCAAGCTCTGCATGCTCTACAACACAGTCAACAGACTAAGTAGATCTAGCAGTAGCAGTAGTAGTACATGTACTACATTGACATTGTACTTACAAGTCTACTGAGTCTAGTGTAGACTAGACTACGGTCATCCGTCCAGGCAAGGGAGCTCCGGAGGCAAAATCACAAAAATAATCCGAGGTACTGACTGTGTATACATTATAATACAGTCGTGCTCAATGAAATCCAGTCGTGTCACTCAAATTTGCGCCTTGCACCATTTCACCCAAAGCCGCATTATAGTTCAACAGCTGTCATCAGCCCTAACTACCCTGGTGTCACACCAATCATGCAAGAGATACTACTAGTACTACATGTACTACTGCTACTCTCCATAATGCACTGATATCCTAGAGTCCTATACTACAGCACAGGTCACAGCGGTGAAGGCTACATGTATTATTATTATTATTACTACACCAAACACTGTCACACTGTAATACTATAGACTATAGTGATTGTGACAGTGACCTATCATGTCAACATCATGTCACCCAAATCTGTGTCATGTGCATGCAAAATCAAGTTTGTACAACCTGCAATGAAGTGTATAGCAGTGCAGTGAGTTGTATCCATCACCAGACACCAGAACACCATTACTCACATAACACACATAACACCATTACTCACACAACACACATTGACCAGCAAAACGAAAATTTAATACATAATGGGCACACAGGAGCATATGTCCCCACGAGACCATAATATTATTCCAATATGGCACACAGCACAAATACAAACATGTTCACTCACACAGCACACGTACACACGCCCGCTCGCATGCACGCACACACACACACACACACACACACACACACACACACACACACATGCACACACACCATACACACACACACACACACACACACACACACACACACCACACACACACACACACACACACACACACACACACACACACACACACACACACACACACACACACACACCAGAAGTACACACACACACCAGTAGAGAAACCGTGACTTCTCAAAAGGGCCATACTAGCTAAGAGTTCCTGGTGCAACACTGCATGCATGCACTTGTCACAGTGCCACTACAACAGTGCCACCACTACAACACGCAATACTAATCAACTTCAAGTGGACACTTTCACACCAAACCTCACAACACAATTACTCAACTCAACAGAACAAATAATTGGCTACTTTGTAGCTGCATTACTCCATACACTTCCTGCTCAAGATGAACACTAATCCCAGCAATCTGTAGCTGTACACACCGTACATGTATACACCCTACACTACACAAAACATCATTGTTCACTACAATGTACTGTCTGTAGGCAGAATACAGTAGTCAGTATACTAGTAGTAGCACAAGTGCAAGCAAGAGCTGAGCAAGGATGGAGCCCATCAACAAACACACATTCCAGAGCTGGGCAGTGTGCTCCTCAGCCGCTCAGGTACCAAGCCCGCCAGACCACCCTGTGCAGTTTCCTGTCCACACGCTGTCCCCAGAGCTCGGCAGCAGTTCTCACCAGCTGCCGGGTGAATTGCCTGTGCTCGGGCAAAGCAGGACTAGCGTCACGGGTGACAACAAGCTTGTACCGGGCAGGAATGCAAATAGTGCGTACACACACCGTCAGTACAATGATACGTCGGTGTTGTGTTTCAATTGTTCATCATGTCATCCTTCAACAAAATGACTTTAAGCAAGAATAGGACAGACCCAGCCAAGGTGTGTTACACAGACGTATAGAAAAGAGCGCACACTTCAGTAGCGACTTCACCCCTGGCCGGCCTGGGATCACACCATCACAACATGGACGCACAACAACTTTGTACGCACAGTACGAAACATGCCCGTTGGCCACAGATGTTTCAGTTGGTGACAAGGTCAGACGTGGAACACACATCAATGCCACACTTACGAAATGAAAGGCTGAAAGCAATAAAGAAATGAAGCGTCAGGAATAGGCCGTCCTAGGCGAGCAGGAAAAATAAAGAATTTGGCTCACTATAAGTGTAGGGAGTGATTTCAATCACCCATTCCACTCAGCACCATGCAAACGTCCGAATCAAGACCAAATACGACCGTTAAACACCAGTAGATGCCATCAATATCAGCTCTCATGAGTTCCTGGCATAACTGTCATTTGTCACACCGACTACCATCGACACCTGCTGCTAGCAACTGTGCTCTGCTGTTTCAAAACACAAGGATGCCACAGGGGAAAGTCAGGGAAAGCGAGGCAAAAAAGGCAACTGCATCACATTTGACAACGATCAAATGCTGCATGTCCACTGACATGTCTCTGCTGTGAAACAATGCCCAGACCTGGAACGCTATTTCGATGAAAACCAGTAACGGTATGAATACGGCATCAAAGGATATCATAAATACACAGAGGCAGTGCGTCTGTAACTGCTAGAGTGCCCCGTGCCTTTAACTGCTATAGTCCTCCATGGCTGTGATTGGGCCAAGCAAAGTACACAGGGGGTATCACAAGCGGTATCGTAAATAAATATGTGCCCGTGGGCATATTACAATCTATGCATACTTGCATCCAGATGGTGCCGCAGGATTGAACTTTGCTGACAATATCGTTCCATTTAAGGCAGAGGAAAAGGCCACACATGCCGTCCTTGCTAAACACACTGCCATGTCCTAGCCGAACTAGCAGGGCAAACCGCATACCTGCGCAGCAGGACATATAGCAACAGTGAAAGCAACAGGTTGACAATCGCCTCGTTAAACAAACACGTCTGAATTTGCACCGTGGCAGGTTCAAGACCCTGGGGGTATTCACGGGCATATGTGAACATGTCATTGAGCAACCTATGCTAAAGCCGTGTAACTGCCTAGAACTGGCACCACCGCAGTCACATGGAGCTATTGCCCAAGAAGCAAAGAAGACACGAACAGCCGAGATGTCCAACACACTAAATCCATTGTGGGCCTTTCACAGAATTAGGCAAGACAATTTTCTACGCGTTCCGTAATCAAACCAGAAGCTTAGATTAAAAGTGGCTTAGGTGTGAAGAATCAGTTAGAATGATGTGGCAACTCAATCAAGAACCTGCCAGACACCCACACACTACAGATGTGATAAAGTGTGCTTAGAAGGCATGCACTGACACCAAAGACGTGGTCCGCATACGCATGGAGCGATCACGAATTACGCGTGCCCCGTACACCCTGACGTCAAAGCCTATGTGATGACCCCTGGACCCAGGGTGACTAAGTTTATAACAGTCGTGTTGAAGATTATACCACGTGAGACACTATTCGTCAATGTCTGGAGGCTCCACTCTAGCCAATTTTAAATAACCTTGTAACCTATATCACCACCATGGACTGCAGGGTATTATAGGCTGCAGTTTACAAGGTTATTAATTGGCTGCAGTGGAGCCTCCAGACATTGATGAATAGTGTCTCACATGGTATAATCTTCAACACGACTGTTAAAAAACTTAAAATCTACCTGGGTCCAGAGGTCATCACACAGGCTCTGACGTCAGGGTGTACGGGGCACGCGTAATTTGTGATCGCTCCATGCGTATGCGGACCACGTCTTTGGTGTCAGTGCATGCCTTCTAAGCACACTTTATCACATCTGTAGTGTGTGGGTGGCTGGCAGGTTCGTGATTGAGTTGCCACACCATTCTAACTGATTTCTTCACGCCTACGCCCCTTTTGACCTAAGCTTCTGGTTTGATCACAGAACACATAGCAAATTGTCTTGCCTAATTCTGTGAAAGGCCCACAGTGGCTTAATAATCTTGTACTTTAGTTTTTGTGTTGGAGTCTCTTGTGAGAGATTAGTTTTGATCAGTGCACTTGTTATTGGTTCAGCTTGACTTGTTTCGGTCCTTTTCCATGATACAGTCGTCCCTCTCTAATCCGGCACTTTATAATCCAGCACCCTCGATAAACCAGCACAATTTTCAGTAGCCAAATGTCCTCTTCATGCACATTGCAGCAGTAGATCAGATTTGTTAATCCAGCACCCTCCCTAATCCAGCAGATTTCCGTGGCACAGATGGTGCCAGATTATAGAGGGACCACTGTAATACATAATACACGAATTAGCGGTTGCCTTAGTGTTTTGAAGGTAACATTTTAGTGGTCCTTCGAGTCAGATCATGGATAGGCCGAAGCGTGCCAACCAAGGGAAGCCGGCGGAGAAGTTTGGTTCGTGGGTGGAAACAGCCAGTAGTGTTTCGGAGATCACCGCGACCAGTCGCCGGTCCGCTGGGAGTGCTCAGGCGCAAGCTGAAGTGGACAAGCTGAAGGCTGAGCTTCAGGCAGCGGAGGATGTGGCTCAGTTGGAGCAAGACGCAGAGGCGAAGGAACTTGCCCGGCAGAGAGAGCTTGTGGATAAGCGTCTGGCTGTGGAGAAGGCTGAAGCCGTGTTGGTGGAGATCACAGCATCGTCTCAGCCCAGGAGCCGTGGCAGTAGTGCAGTGGGTTCCAAAGCGAAGTGTGACGGGAGCGACCAATGTTGCAGCAGAACACCCAATGCGAAAGGTGCTGACGGTGGAGGCTCTTGCTGCCTTGGAGAGGCGCAATCCGCCTGTTTGGAAGCTTGCAATCCTAAGCGAGTGCATGGACGAGTTGGACATTGAGCAGCGCAGCTACAGGAGTCTGGGAAGGAAGCCCTTGAATCCAATGCGACCGATCCGACCGCTTCAATCGAGTCCAGTGGAAGTCGTAGCCTTGGACCAGAACTCTGACAACTATGAGTATGATGAGCAGAGTAGCGCTGGTGAGCTGAGCCATGACGGCAGTTCAGCAGTTCCAACCTCGGTCCAGCCAGGCACTGGAGTCGGCACAGTTGCCAGCTCACCCATTCATCCTGCAAGTGGAGGTGCGAACAGACTTCCCCGGAAGACTGGCCCATTTGACACCTACCAGCACTGTAGGTGTCAGTGGTGTGCATCCAAGCATAGCAAATGCAGCTTCTTCCAGTATGAGACCTCAGCCTGTTGTCACAGGTCCTGTGAGCAGTGCTCTATGGAAAGCTCCAGTGGCAGTGCCCACTCAGCCAAAGCAACCCGTCTTAACTGCTAGACCTATCACAGTCCAGTCAAGTCTTGCTGCAGTTCCTGCTGCTGTTCAGCAGCCCAAGCGGCCTACAGCTTCGAAGCCCAGGGTGCCTGCGGCAGGTCAGACACTGTTGGCTAGTGCCCCAGCATTCTAGCCAATGGGAACTCCGCCGGCGGAGCAAGGTTCGTCTAGCACCCCCTCCACCAGAGTATCTTAGTGCACCACCTGCTGAAGGCCAGTCTACACACCCCGACCCGGAGGTGCATTCAGCACAGACGTACGCGATTCCGTATGTGGAGCCACCAGTAATCAGAAGCCCTTGGTCTCGCCACCACCTAAAGCCACTGGAACTGCCAAAGTTCAGTGGGAAGGACAAGGACTTCGGCCGATGGAGGCAGCATTTCAAACAGCTCGTGGAAGAGGACACGTACATGTCGGACGACCACAAGTTTGCCCGTCTGCGGGAAGCCTTGGCAGGCGGGCAAGCGGAAGATCTTGTTGCCGACATCGTCCACGGCCCAGGCGCCTACAAGTCCGCACTGCAAGAGCTTGACGCATGGTACGGGGCCCAGCCCGAGACATCGTGCGCTATGAGAGAGAGAGAGCTGCTAGCCGTTCCCCGCATTGTCAGTGAGCGGGACCTAGATCAGCCGAAGCCATTCGCGCTCAGGCTGCGGAACACCCTCATCAACTTGAACACCGCTGGACTTACACCAGGCAGAGAACTCTACCTCAGTGTAACCCAGAAGGTGCCAAAGCCTGTCCTGACCCGCTATTTGGAGCGACACGATGACTCGCTATGCGACATTCATGGGTTTGCAGACTTCCTGTTAAAGCGTGTCATGTGCCTCAAGCAGGTAGAAGAGAGTGCTGCCAATCCCCGAGCTTCCCCGGTGGAGCACCGAGAAGCCCCAACAGGACCCAGGAAAGACATTCCACAAGCGTACTGAGCGCACACTTGTTGCCACCGAGTCATCGACCGTCAGCTGCGTGTCCTGCCACGGAGGGCATCAGCTGGCATCTTGCCCACAATTCAAGCAGCTCTCCCTGCACAAACGGTGGGAGTTTGTGAAGCCGTTGGCCATTTGCATCTGCTGTTTCAAGCCCGGCCACAAAGGCAAAGATTGCCGACAACCGAGGTGCCGGTTCTGTAACAAGCCGCACCATGAGCTTCTCCACTACCAGAAGCCAATCGCCAAGCAACCTGTGGAGTCTGCAAAAAGAGCACCATGTGCCAACACAGCCCATGGCAGAGTTGAGAAGGCGCAGAGTGCCTGCAGCGTGAGCGCCACGAGTTCTTCGTCACGTGACCAGACCACGGCACAATGACAGTGGCAGCCACCGTCAACGGGCCAAACGGGCCATCCCAGGCAACGGTGTTCCTCGACAGCGGGTCGTCGTGCAGCTTCATCAGCGCAGACCTCGTTGAACGTCTGGCGCTGCCTGTGAAGTTCGGATCCCTCGAGACTTCTGTCCTCGGCGGCGAGAAGCTGTGCCCTATCAACCAGTACGCAACGGTTGAGCTGTGTCATTCTGATGGATCAGGAACCAGTGAGTTCTCGGCTTGGGTCTTGCCGAATATCATGAACCCCATCACTACCATCAACTGGACAGACCAACAAGGATGTTGGCCAAAGTAACACATATCACCACCACCACCACCACCACCATGTATATGTAAGATCATGGTAGTTGCAGTGCTATTGGCTAATGAAATGGCATAATTATAGAATACCCATAACAAACCATAGCATTATCTTTTGCATCAAAGGGTCGGGGTAGACTGCAAAGTCAAAGGCTAATAGAGTAATAGTTCCACGCACGCATTATAGAATACCCATACCAAACCATAGCATTATCTTTTGCATCAAAGGGTCGGGGTAGACTGCAAAGCGGTCAAAGGCTAATAGTTCCACGCACGCACTGTGTACTACACTCTTGCAAGGTTCCTAGGTATTTCTGCATGTTGCCCAATTATGCCCAGCGTTCTAACCAAGGGGGGGGGGGGGGGGTAGGGGGCGCAGCGCCCCCCTACTCTGTTTGAGCCCCCCCCCCCCCCCCATACTGACCAACCACCACAATCTCAATCCCTTGACAAGACATGCAGAATCCCTGGATTTCTCTCAAAATCCCTGGATGGCACAAAAACAAGTGAAAAAGAGCTTTTCCCGCCAAACAAACGTTCGACTCTGCAGCTGTGCGTACAGCACAGATCGACCCTGTACTACATGGTACTAGGCTGTAGTGCAGTTTGATCAGTCGGCGCCCGCCTGTCACTTTGTCAGTGCAGATCTTGCATGGTCAGGTCTTCAAAGTGCTGTGCACAGTTCGAAGTGCGAATGAGCACCGTACATACCTTTGAAAAAAGTTCAAAAACCGGGACATTCGGGGAGAAACCATGGAGTTTTCAGGAAAATCCTGTATCAGACAAAACTTTGGTTTTTCCGGGAGTTTGCTTGAAATCCCCGGGACCCCGGGAGGAGTGTTGATTTTCCGGGATTTTCCCGGGAAAAACGGGAGGGTTGGCCAGTATGCCCCCCCCCCCCCCCACTCATGTTCCGATTTTCGTGTTGTTCATGCAATTCAACGAAAATGCAGCCGAAAGTCACTGTTAGATGGTTCATAAAGGCACATTTGTCTGGGGCGAAGTCGGGGATTCGCCACATACGTTGCATTTAGCGTGGCAAGACAATATTGGAAAGTGAAAAAATGGGATACCGACCCGGGTAACTGTTTCCCATGCCTGCCCCCCCCCCCCTCCCCCTACTATTTTTACCTGGCTAGAACCCTGATGCCCATACAAAACCTCCAAGTACATACATGTACATGTACAGGTAGATTGTAATCACAATCCAAAGAAAACAGCAACAGGAATAAGTCCACGCTCTCACCTTTGTGAATTGTGGTTCCACAACGTGTCCCAGCAGCTGTCCTGGCAGTGTCACACTGACCACCTAGACACTGCACTATTCACAGTTCACCGACACCTCGTTTGCCATAAGCACCTGTTGCACAGTGAAGCTTGCTGTCAGCCATGGGCACAAGAGAGATGTGCTTCACGTCACACCACCAGTGCAGCTCTGCCATTAGGATAGGCATGTGGCCTATCAGAAGGCAAATATTTGCCATATTTGGGATGACACAGCTATGCATTATATTCGGAGCACAGCTATAGATGGTAGCATTATGATCTGCCCCTGTTCAGCATGCCCGCCATGATCTTCTTCTCCAGGCGGCGTGCTATGGCCGGATGTGTTTCCAGCACCGGCTCTCCCATCAGGACACGAGACCAGCAGCTGAGCAGTGCCAGACCGGCCGTGTTGCTGCAGCCATTCACGTACAGCTCCAGCTCGGTCTTGCAGGGCGAGTGCAAGCTGCGTCGGCTGCACGACGCCGATGACGGACCAACGACATGGGCACCCCCGCACACACCCGTAGTCCAGTAGACACCATGACCATATGCAGATGTCCATGGTTTGCTCCTCCGCCACTTCACCAACTGCTGCTGGCAGATCAGTGCTCTCGCATCTCGTACGTTGAACGAAAACGACGACAAGATATTTCCCAGGAAGGCGTCTGCAGCTACGCATAGCTCATGCTCAACGATCGCAAAGTCGTGCTCGCCAAGTTCTTGCAACACATCACACACTGGATAAGCTGTTAACTGGTGAGCTCCACTGGTTCGAGGTTCACCAAGGATTGCCGTGCAGTACGTAGCGGACATGATATCCTCACAGCAGCGCATTAGCACATTGCGCAACATGGACAAGGACCAAACGTTTTGAAAATGCATGGAAAACTCGGCCACCACGGATGCATTGCGACTGAGTTTCCCAGCCACAAGCAAGGGTACATCACGACTGAGAAACACCGTACTGGCTTGGACATATGCCTCCAGTGGGTGAAAGCAATTCTTAAAAAAGTAGGAGTTGCACATATCTTGCCAATCAGAATCAGCCCGAGCGTAGACAGCATTAAATCCAGCTACACGAGCTACTAGGTGACTGTCGCTGCTTTCTTGGCATTGCGTGGTCGAGGAGGAATTGCAGAGCTTGGCACTGCACGAAATCCGTGACGTCGCATGCAGCAGAGCAGCCTGTACAGCACTCCCCACTGACCTCAACCTCTGTGAGGGACGCAAGGATTGCGCAATAGCAGCACGGACTGCTCGGAGACTGCTGGTAGTATACGTGCCGATCGATGGAAATCCCATTGCCACCTGCAGGCAGAGTCGATCGGGGAATTCATCGCGGAGGAATGTCGGCTTTATGACATCATCCTGACTCAGTGATATCTGATGCCACACTGCGTTGCTGCAAGATACAGAATCAGAAGTTGAGGAAATAGCGTCTAGTTCGACTAAGCTACGCGTGGCATGGATGAAGTATTCCTCATCAAAGTAGTACCCAAAGGCATGCAGTCTTGGCTCCACTAAGGCACCATGTCCTGGCATCGTTGCTAGGTGGTTATCGTGCCCAATCTGCGGTACAACAAACTGAGCTCCAAAGTGTTGAGAAATCGTAGCAGCCGCAATAATATACAAGCGCACGGTTGCAATACCACTGTTCGTGAAGGAGGTCGCATCGAACAAGAGCACGTGTTTTGATGCTATGACGTCCTCGGGAGAATCAGCCTGGCCTCGTGGCGTGTCTGACTCCATATCATAGCATGCATGTACTGTAAGAATGCATTGAAATACTGTGAGGATTCTAAGGCGTAATCCATACGGAGCAGAGTGAGTCCACATCCTTGACGTTGTTGATCTTCACCTCAGAAACAAACTTGCTCACACTTGACCTGGTAGCATGGCTGGGCGAAATTCCAATATCTGCTGAAGCCATCGACTTTCACTACCGGTACTAACAAGTCCAAGAGAAGTAAACCTCACATAGAATAGCATTACTGGGCATTACTGGGGTGAGTTTCGCCTTCCACGACTAATATTTGTTACCTTTTCAGGACAATTTCACAAGACAATCGCTAGCGGTTGCACTACGATGCAAAAATCGAAACACAATAATACTGACAGGATCGCTTTTCTAAAATATCGTCTGATTGGCTCGCGGATGGTTCCCAAATGTATCCCAAATCATGGCAAATGATGTCCAAAAATATTGATGTCAATCGGCTCACAGACACTGCACTGCAGAAACCAGATCAGCAGAGATCTAGATACGGTACGAGGACCTGAAGATTCAAAAATATTTGAAAAAATGCGTAGATCTACTCATCAAAGAGATTTTTTTGGAATTTTCGACCTGTCAAACATCAGCTGTATTTTCGTTCTCCGGGCCGAAAATCGATCTATTTGGTGGATTTTGTTGCCATGCCACCTCTTCTACGGCATTTCCTAGTTTGAGTACCCACAACTAGCCTGCTGTATTTTGCTTTTCCCACACTATTAAAAGTCAAGAACACCCAGGTGCACTCGATATACATGCTGTGACTCCAGCTAGGACTTCTCTTCATTCCTTGTACCAAGAGTGGGGTTATGTACTCTTGCTTGTACCAAGAGTGTGTTTATGGACTCTTGCTTGTACTGCACTGATAGCCTTCTTGAAAATTTGCGTGCGCAATATTTTGCGATCGGCCTATTTGAACAAGCTGTAACATTGCTTAGACCTATCTTATGCATAATGCTATAATATCAAGTGTTCAATAGAAAGAGTGTGGTATGAGGAGTGTGTTCCAAATTTGAAGGTGATCCTAAACCTATATCCCTACCCTATAATTATTACAGCCGTTAGTTTGTGAATATGCGAAAATGGCCGGCAAAGGTGTAATCCCCCCTTAATTCCATGGAGGCAAAACTAGAACGAGGAGAAAGGAAGAAACACCTTCAACCATCATGGCCATAGAACCATCCCCGGATTGTTTCTCCCAGCTTTTTGATTTCTGCAAAAACTAGAAAAAAGACAATGTGGCACGTGCTCCAGTTTTGCTCCACGTGGTCACGTGCAACTCTGGCTAGTCTGGGACTCTGGGCGCCTAGCGCCTGGATTAGGCCCAGACCGTGACTCTCCGGTCGCCTCGATATTTTGCGGCAAAATGTTGCTGCGAAATCTTCGATATTTTGCCGAGCCTGGCACAAGAAACTCGACATTTTTCTCCATTTTGCTCCGGAAAAACGTGTATTATATCCGCTTCCCGTACAATCCCGTACAACGTTTCAAAAAAAACGCAGCGTCGGTTTCTCAACACGGGTTTCAACGCACGTGTCCCTGAGTTCTTCCAAAATCAAGTCGATCCACAGTGAATCCCAGAGATATTTCAGTGACATGATCTCGTCCTGGGCATTGTATCCTGCTGAACGGGTAAGAAACAAGGGAATCCAAGTATCAGACATCGATTTTACCCAACACCTCGATATTTTGCTCCGATTTTGCCGGCAATTTCCACTCTTTCAATTCTTCGATATTTTGCCGAAAGAATTGCCGGCAGGATCTGTCCGGGCCTAGCCTGGATGCTGCGTGTTGAGATATATGAGGTGACACACGCACATGCGCGAGCACACCCACCCACAACACACACACGATGCGATAATTCTCCCTTTCTTCTCTCAAGAATGGCTCCACCCCCGACACACCATGCAGCCTAGGACCACCCGCAGGCGTTCATCCACATCAGTTACAGAATGTTCTTCCTGCAAATTCCCGGAACAATGTGAGCCGAGCCTTTCCCCACTCCGTCATCCCCGTTTGGAACCATCATTCCCCGTCCATTTCACCCAAAGAACATCCAAAAATTCAAGACAGCAGCTTATCACCATCGCCTCAGAACAAACTGGCACTGGGCCACTCATAGCATACGCGAGTAAGAGGGTACAGTGTCCTGCCCTGCTTGGACATATCCGGCCTTCAAGGTGGAGGGCGATGCACGAGTACCGGTACATGTACTGGTAACACCCAGGAAATGCAGCGGACCGCAGCTGTTGAGTTCATCCCCAGAGCATGCCAAAATGCGGCTACTGTTCTGGCCACACTGAAGAATATCAATTATATGTTTTCATTACATTAAGTAGGAGCATTGCATTCATTGTGTAATTTTCCCGTACAAATGATATGTACTAGGGGAAAAAAGAAAAAGAAAATCAATTTTGATTACGCAAGATATACTTGAGGCAGAAGAATAGAATAAACATGCAATGACACTGAATCAGCGGAGAAAAATTAGAATTTACTCACGGGAATAATGAAGAAAGTCAAGGTCGGCTAGTTTCAAATACTTTAGAAATCAAAATTATGCAAGCCATCACTCCATAAGCTTTAGTGTAATGTAATTCTCTAAAGATAACCACTCTGACTTTTCCAAGCATGATTTAAAAGTGTGTCCAGCACACTTGATATTATACTAGAGTGTAGGATGAAATCAATCATGAGCCATACCTAAGAGAGCATATAACATAGATCAATCATGAGCCATACCTAAGAGAGCATATAACATAGATCAATCATGAGCCATACCTAAGAGAGCATATAACATAGATCAATCATGAGCCATACCTAAGAGAGCATATAACATAGAATGTGACTGTGGGTCAAAATCAAAATACGGACGAGGATCAATCTGAAAAGTAGTGATTTAGCCATTTCGGAGACAATAATTTCATGATAGCGATGAAGAGGCCAAATTGTGTAGAATCAATCGGACTTTTGACCGTTGTTTCGGCCTCAAAACTAGGGATAGAAAAGATAATGAATTAATTTCATACACATTGTACATTCTGGAATTGTGTGTTGCTCCCTACGTGGGAGCTCACGCTTGTACATTCTGTTCACAATATTCAGTCTTGCACCAACACCAGTGGACAGTACAATGGTGGTTACTCAAAACTGCATAGAAGAAGCTGGTATGGGCAGTGGCACTGCACGAACGACTGCCAAACGGCATCGCGTCCACGGGTGACAGCTACTCATGGCAAGCCAGCAATGGATCAAGTTCCAGCAAGAACTGCATTTGACTTTGGCGCATGAGGCAGTGAAGCAGTCAAGCATGATTTTGTCAAGTGGCCAGAGATCTGCAAAGCTGCATTTCAACATCATTACCAAACGGCTACATGTAGCTCACAGGAATCTGCGGACAGAACTGTTTCGTCCTCACGTCAGATGTACGAGTGAAACGCAGATATAAGCGTGTGACCGACATCCGCACCAACAAGCACGCGCACGTACACGCTTGCTCATTTACCAATGCTCAACATGTCGACGGCAACGTCGATGATGAACACGCCAACGCACGCTGCAGCCGACTCTGGTGCGTTGTTCAGTCTCCGCTGTATGCAGCATACCGCCTGTGCATTGCCACCAGCATCCGCAGATAACAGTGCACCATCGGCCAGTGCGGTGAGGCTGATCACACGGCATCCGGGCAAGGGCTGACGCAATGCTGCAGGGCAGTCCACATAACGTGCGCGCACACAGAGAACCGGAGGAATTACAGGGACTGTCACATCATATCAAAACAATGACTGAGTCACAGAGAAAGAACTCTTTCTGCCATTAAATCATCATGTGCCATTCATCTGTCCCATTTTCTGATGACACAGAGCACTACGTGAAGCAAGGACCGCAGACTGATACACCCCTACATCTAACAACACGAACTTCCTTCTATCTGCCAACACACCAGGTACACTTTCATCTACTTGGTCCGCGTCAGCAATATTGTCGCTTATCTTTCGACAATATTTGAACTTAGACTTTGGACATGAACGCGTGCACTTGAAGTGATAAAACTTGGTACGATGGACGGTAAGGTATAGAAGGACAAATAGCTGCGAGGAATTTATTGTCCAAGGAAGGGTTCCTACTTTTTTCGGTCCTCCTCGTCGCTGCTCTCGGCGCTGGCGACAAATATTTTTGCTCGGGATCGACTCTCTTGCTTTTGCGAGCTCATCTCTCTTCCTTTTGCGAGCTCATCTCTCTTCCTCTCCGCTGCCTGGCTATTTTCTAAAGAGAAGTCGATTGTGACGGTCGCCTTCTCTATAGAGGACTTCGCGTGGGCAGCACGACAGCCTGTGTGGTGCAAATCAGACGCCGTTCTTTGCAAGATTTTATTTTGAACGACGACGATGCGTATCGCGCGTACAGTACTTGCAAATCTTCACGACGCGCTGGATACTCCGAGCGTTGAGCTGGAGGTAAGGGAGCTGCGATCTAAGCTTGAGGAGCGATCCCTGATGAGCGATCTCGGCCGTTCAGCAAAATGGAGCTGATTCCGAGTAGTCGATTACTTTCTTGTGGCTTGCGCTGCTCTTGCCTGCACAGCGTAAACAGATAATCTATTTTGATGCGGCGCTGTATCAATCAGAATCACCCACCTGTCGCTCTCGAAATCCACTCGAACTCTAGCTAGACCTTCCAGGTACTAGCAAACTAACTTGCTAACCAAAATTGGGATGAAATGGACTGCCAATTAAGCATTTCCGACATATAAACAAAGCTGAAAGATAAGCGACAATATCGCTGACGCGGACCAAGTACCAGCAACAACGGACGCCAACATCACGTATGATTGCACAGGTATGGAATGTGTAGCGGTCCACCTTATGAACACAGCGGAGCCCTGTATCATATCCAAGAAACACTGCACATCCTAGCCCTGTTTTGCCTATTTACCTTTCTGAAGAGTTTCATATACATATACATATACATATACATATACATGTACATGTACATATACATATACATATACATGTACATATTATACATATACACACTGTTGTGAATTCCAGCAGAAATCCAAGAGAGCTCGATACCGGGAAGGTAGAGCCGTGACACACTAGTCAGAACAACAGATGGCTTGATCAGTCACAACTTAAAGTTTCATGCCATCTCAGGCACTCATCAGGTGATATGAACATCAAGAAAAATAACCCACTATTTAAAGCCCAGTATGGCGGGACAAGGATAACAGAAAGCGCTAGGGGCGCTATCAACTCATATCCGATTCAGTGTCATAGCCAGTAAGGATCGCGGTACTAAGGTGATAAAGGATAAAGGTGATAAAACTGAGCTGGCCTAGCTAGTGAGTTCCGCGGTGCAAAGATGATGATGGTGACAAGGCGGCAGAGAGCTATCAACTGGCCCTACTGCCTGGAGGCAAGGCGGGAAATTCCAGCCGTATCGTAAACCTGGAGACGCACCTCTCTACGTCAACGCCATGTCCAATCACCCACCATCCATACTACGGAACATCCCTGATATGATCGCTCGACGTGTCTCAAGCATATCTGCCGACAGCGGCGAATTCGCCGATGCTGCCCCTGCATATCGCAATGCATTAGCGGCCAGCGGATTACCTGCCAACATCAAGTACATTGACCCAACGCCACCTGCTGCAATGAACGGCAGCAAGCAAAAAAGAAAAAGGAAACGGAATGTGGTGTGGTTTAACCCGCCATACTCCAAGAGTGTCCGGACCAACATCGCCGGCACCTTCCTCCGGCTGATCGACAAGCATTTTCCTAAGGGGTCCAAAATGAACAAAATCTTCAACCGCTTCAATGTGAAGGTGAGCTACTCCTGTTTGCCGAATATGGCCCACATTATCAGTGGCCACAATAAGCGTCAATTGTGCGTCCAGGAACCGGACAAGCCGTGCAACTGCCGTCGCAAGGACCAGTGCCCTCTCAACGGAGCGTGCCAAGCAACCAGCATAGTCTACGCGGCGGAGGTGTCGAGTGATGGCCACAGCGATGGGCCCAAAACCTACATTGGCAGTACGGAGCCTCCATTCAAGCTTCGATACGGGAACCACAAGACATCCATCAAGCTTCCTGGATACCGCAAATCCACGGGCCTCTCAAAGCATGTGTGGGAATTAAAAGATAATGGCAAGACGCACGACATCAAGTGGCGAGTGGTCCAGAAGGCCAAGGCCTACAGCAACATAACAAAAAGATGCAGCCTGTGCCTCGAGGAGAAGGCGAGAATAATCACTGCCGACAGGAGATCGAGCCTCAACAAGCGGTCGGAGTTGATATCCAAATGTCGACATCAAAATAAATTCATGCTGTCAACACCGATAACATGATCTTCTCGGCACCCTGCCTCCAGGCAGTAGGGCCAGTTGATAGCTCTCTGCCGCCTTGTCACCATCATCATCTTTGCACCGCGGAACTCACTAGCTAGGCCAGCTCAGTTTTATCACCTTTATCCTTTATCACCTTAGTACCGCGATCCTTACTGGCTATGACACTGAATCGGATATGAGTTGATAGCGCCCCTAGCGCTTTCTGTTATCCTTGTCCCGCCATACTTGGCTTTAAATAGTGGGTTATTTTTCTTGATGTTCATATCACCTGATGAGTGCCTGAGATGGCATGAAACTTTAAGTTGTGACTGATCAAGCCATCTGTTGTTCTGACTAGTGTATTATACATATACATATACATGTACATATACATATACATATACATGTACATACACATATACATATACATATAGCTGGACACAGTTTCTTACCCATTAGGCATGACACATCATCCACGACCTCTCTGCCATTCCACAATGCCAGAGCTCTGGCTATGTTGATCACAGCAATGTGACCACCACGGGTACCTAGCCACAGCATTGGCCCAGTTACTGCCATGCAGAGTAGATATGCCTCCACCACATCCGCGATGCCAGCAACTTCCCTGCCGCAGCCGAATGGAAATCAAAGCGTTATTTTTGACGTGACGCGCAATTTCACGTCAAATGGGTCGACATTTTTATGTGACATGCAGCTCGCTCGTGTCAGCAGACATCAGAGTTTTCATTCCCAAAGTTTACCAATTACCCACAGCATAACGTCTTGTACCGGTAAAAAGAATGTGATTGGAAAGTTTTGCCCTCGTACGAGTATTGTAGGCAGTGTGCCAGAATCTGAGTGTGTTTCTTCTACACTGATTGTGCACAGCAAATTCACTAATTAAAACTATACACAAATTAATAGTGTATTACTTCCATAAGAGATCAGAATCCTGGCATCAATGTACTAGTGAGTATTGCATGGCTTACTTGTAGTTGAGAATGAGTCTACAGCGTGACAGGCTGCTATCCAGCAGCATCACCAGGTTGCTGTGCCGCTGCATCATCCACACGCCGTGCGAGCTGCTCTCCATCTTGACGATGCCCGGGCGCAGGTACTGCCGGTCGAGAAGAGGCTTACCGCTATCGTCCACCAGTATGCTGGCCAGCGTGCGTGTGTTCTTCAGGTACTGTGTTTTAACACAGCGCGGGTAGTCAGGCTTGCCACTGCTGCTCGACAGCTGCAAGATTTCAGGCACGTCCAGCAGCAAGATGCTATTGCCGAAGCTACAGACTACGGAGGCTGGCGTTGGCCCGTTGGCCAGCACCATACAGGGTTGACCTGTCTTGGTATCCAGCCTGCAGATACAGTGCCTCAAGGGTAATGACTGCTCACCATCCTGACCGGCCGTGGCTTGGAAGACTAGCACATAACCGCATGCCATACCGACCAGAACTAACTGCTGCTGCTGCTGCTGCAGCGTGTTCAGAGCCTTGTTCTCCGCTGCCTGTCGTGGGTGTGGAACAGCCAACACTGTCAGTACAGCAGAGTCACAGTCCTCTTCAAAGTCGATGGAGTCGATGATCTCCTGCGTCACGCAGCTGAAAACGTAAACAGCACCGGATGTGTTGCGCTCCACGCCCACCCATATCTGTTGTGCCGTCTCGGCAATGGCTATGCTTGTTACGCGCTCCTCGCTGCGCACAGCCACGTGTCGTCGGCGAAGATGAGGCATGGTATCAGGTATGAAGGATATGGGCTGCGGCTGAGACACACCGTTGACCAAGTCGAGTCGGCCAAGTTGAATACGCGGGACACCAGTTGCCCACACTAAGGTCTTCTTACTGGAATAGTGCGCCGCAGCAGTGATGTGATGATCCAAGCAGGCCGGTGACCATTGCGTTGCAGCACAGCATAGAGCCAGCATTCTCCTCAAATGATCAAACTCATCGTCAGCGCATATCTGCTGGCGATTGGCTAACGACCAGCACTTCTCCATGACGGACTGCATGCAGAGCTTAGAGCAGCTTGAGAGCAGGCGATCGATATCCACCTGTGTCACTCTTGTCACATCGCTGTTGGACCTCCAGCGCTGCACGTTGTTATGGTCACGTTCCTGACGCCGGCGTCGGTGCGTTCCGTCGCTGTTGCAGCGGCGACCTGTTGGTGTCACGATGCTTGACGTCGTGTCGGATCTCATACGCGGCTGATGGTGTGGCTGCAAACCCTGCCTGTCGCTCACCTCATCCTCTTCCTTGGGCAGCGGAAAGATGTCCAGCATGAGCTCGTCCAAGCTCGGCCGCAGTCGCTTGCTGCGAAACGCACGCACCAGCTGCTTCGTGTTGAGGATTCCGCACAGGAGTCGCTCGCCACTGACTACCTCGTACAGCACTACTCCCAGCTGTATGAACATTTCCTACATGAACACACACACACACACACGACATACAAACACAACATCAGTGACGGACATAACACACAAAAACATTATGTGCACTCACACACAATGCGTAAAGCCCAGGCCAGTGACATTCCACTACACAATTACAATATCACTGAGCTCTACCCTACACAGACCTAACATCACACATGATATTATTCCGTGCATTTAAACACAGCGCTACTTTACTCACAAAGTCAAATTTTGATGACCAGAATTGTACCACACAGGGATGTTTCAGCGGAATGGTTTTGAACCTATACCGTTACTTTCTATTTTGGCTGCAGCATAGCATAGGCAAGAGATGGTATGACTATGAGCAATAGCAGACAGAGGCAGAAATGATAGGTCAGTGCCACACACCTGCACATCATCGTTGGACTGCAGTTGCCGCAGTCCGGAGTCCGACAGGCAGATCTTCAGCGTCCGGCCGTCGTGGATGTGGATGGAGTCGACGGTGAGACTGCAGTGTACCACACCCTTGCCGACCAGGTACTGCAGACCGCTGACCAACTGCAACACGATATTACACACAGGACAGAGAACAAAAGTAGAACTCACTCAGTACGTGCTCTGATTAGACACACGCTCACTGAGTACAGCCATTGTACGCATCGCAGCTGTATTCATCCATACTAAAGTATGTCTGGATGAGAAATACCTCGTTGTACTAAGCAGGACCTCTAAGGCTCTATGCCGGTTCATGCAGTCAGGCATAGCCCATCAGTTGTAGGGAGAAACCGAAGTGACGGACACTTCCTTCTTATAAGTAACAGGCACCAATACACCATTCAGCTCAATCCAGCCAAGCACTGGAACAGTAGACACCACTCTACCTACCTGACACATCACGCAACTCTGCTTAACGATCATTGACAGATGCATGACTCCCGTATGATTTGTTTATGCGGACAATATTCGATTATAATTATTACATACCTGATGTCCAATGGAATGCGCATGCTGCCGCTTGAAGCCCCTACCAGTGCGCTCAATCTGACCAGCTAGCGAGCACTTGAACGGCGCAGGTAAGCGTAAGATGGGCGGGTGACCAACCAGTGAGCCAGGACGAGGGCAAAGACCTTCCCTTTCGACGAGAAGAAGTGTCTCCGTCCTCCACCTCAACTCATTGTAAGGCTGGAGCAAGTAGTCCTGAAAGATAATCATGCAAACAAAGACATTTCATCTTGCCATAGTAAACTAGACAGGCGGGCAATAGCAACACACACTCCATATTCTTCCCATTTGTACACACCTACACACCTACACACCTCTACACACCTACACACCTACACACCTACACGCCTACACACACCTACACACCTACACACCTACACGCCTACACACACCTACACACCTACACACCTACACACCTACACGCCTACACACACCTACACACCTACACACCTCTACACACCTCTACACACCTACACACCTCTACACACCTACACACCTACACGCCTACACACCTACACACACCTACACACCTACACACCTACACACCTACACACCTCTACACACCTCTACACACCTACACACCTACACACCTACACACCTACACACCTCTACACACCTCTACACACCTCTACACGCCTACACGCCTACACACCTACACACCTACACACCTACACACCTCTACACTGTATTCGAGAAGAAATGGGGCGATAGGCAAACTGCTGCTGATCAAAGTGAAGGATATGTCTTGATAGTCGGCTCATGATCATTTCGGGGTCTTTGGAGTGAACCATTCAAAATGTTGTCAACACACATCGAGAACACCTCAGCAGTTTCATGCTTGTAATACATTCATTTAGGCGTCAACCACCCAGCCCAATACGACACATCGCCTGAGGATTGTGACTACATGCACGTGAAACTCGGAGTTGCAACACAGCTCCTCCTCCCCCCCCCCCCCCCCCCTCTCTCTCTCTCTCTCTCTCTCTCTCTCTCTCTCTCTCTCTCTCTCTCTCTCTTGTGTAATTGAACTTCCAGATATAATATGACAATGTGTAATAGACGACACATGCAGATGTAGTGAGCAAATACCTGTGCTAGTCCAACTCACCACTGCCATGGAGGATGGCATCACCGGGAAACGCCGCGTGAACACTTTACTCGACATTGTCTGATCGGACGCCACAATCTTGCCGTTGACGATTCTCGGCAGAGAGGCAAAGACCCTGCCAGCTTGTGCTACAGAGCTTCCCACTGCTCCTGCCAATGGGTTGGTGGGTGTGAGAATTTCGCGCAGGTCCTCACAGAGCACGTCGGGTATAAGCATCTTCAATGGCACAAGGACACGGTTCTTGGCACAGCCAAGCTTGCCCTGAATGTCGTTAGACTTTGCAGAGGAAGACAGGCGTCGGCGTTTGTTGTCCTCCATCTGCGCATCTAGCGCCATGATACAGAACGGCAGAGTAAAGTGGTACATTGAGCGTGCGTACACGTCGCCCAAGAGAGAGTGCTGTAGCGGCGTGGAGCCTCGACATGCTGGGCATATCAGCAAGCACTCCAGCACTCCCTTGGTCTCCACCAGCGCCACATTACGAGAACACAACTTGATGGTCTGCAGGCAACATTTGAAGAACATTACAGCACACGGAAACAGTTGGGATTGGAACCTTGCGTCAGCAGAATCCTAGCGGCAGCATGCATGGTGAGTTAAAGCAGGGGGCATCTGCAAAGAGAAAGCTAAGTCCTCCCCAGCATAGGAGGAATGTCTTCAGGTACGTACAATCCTAGTTGCAACATACTTGTTCACCTGTGAGAGGCCCGTCTGTACCTAACATACTTTAGCCATCATGGAACTGAGATGAGTAGAATAATGTCACGTCTGACACCATCAACACGCATTACACTGCACCTTGTTGACCCATTAACAAAGAACATATCCAAGTCTAACCGGGTAAGTCTGCTATTTTGACAACACGTTCCCAAGGTTTCGACCAGGAAAGACAATGGAGCTTCGACCACCACTTGTACTAACCCATTGTTGGGGTAGGGGCTCCGTGAAGGGCGGGTGATAATTTCAAGGGGGTACTGTATAGCAGGAAAATTTCGGACGGAAATATTTTCGGACAAAGCCGAATTTCGACGTTTCGTGCGGATTTTATTTTCGTACAGTGCTGCACGCTAAATGCACGTGTTCGCAAGCAGTACGCATGTATAGTGTACATAATTTCACATGAACAAATTTTAGTACGGAATTAATTTTAGTACAAAAGAGGCCGTGTACGAAATCGTACGAAAGTAAATTCCATCCGAAAATTTCCTGCTATCCAGTACATGTCGTCAGATACTGAATTGCTTACATGTCGATTAGACTTGTGTTCAAGCATATTTCTACCTAGGCAGGATCAGACATAGATGGGGCAAGGAGCTTGCAAGGTGCTGGTCTGTACGCCCGAAACTTGATGTATTCCAGAAAAATTCTGTATCGGGTGTATTTTGGGGAGGGGGGGAATGTTACCAAAAACAAAATATAGGTCTGAGAACTTACATCTACAATGGCCTGAGTGATGACTTGCAGGAGTTTGACGGAGACAAAGTTCTCCGATGCCTCTACAAGCACATCAATGTAGTTCAGGGCCGGTTCTGAGTTATCATCCACTGATCCCCTACTTGGCTTGGGGCTAGACAAAGGCGAGTGTACACGCTGGGGAGTAGCACGCACTAGGGCTTGGTAGCCTTCACTCCGCAGCAGGCAGCCCGTTCGCCAGAAGATGGCCTTGCGATGCATGCCGCTTAGCAGTTCGGCCAATTCCTTATCCGGCAGTGTGGCGTACAAGAAGCCAACGTACTCCAACTTACAAGCCAGCTGCTGCAGAAGCAAGCTCCAGAAGATGGGTGACAGGCAGGGCACACAGAACAGCCGCGCTACTGATCGTTCACTCCAAACGAGTGGTGCAGACACGTCGGCAAAGCGTACAGCCAGCCCCGATGGCGTGAAGATCGTGCCGTTGGAGAGCGGCGTGCAGATATTCACCGACTCGATCACGGAGAGGTACTGCCAGGGCAGCCTATCGTCGACATCGTCCTCCTTGGTGAAATAGCCGGTCAGAATCATAGCCAGGTCGGCCTGTGTGAAGATGCCCGATGGGTCGTCGGCGGCACGGGATATCTTGTCAGTCAAGCGTAGCACGTCGGCCAGCATGTTACACATTTTGTGCTGGTCAAGGACTAGTACGCCGGTGGTGTGTGACGAGTTGGCTGTCGGCGGAAAGAACGTGCACAGGCCAAGCTGCAAGCAAAAAACAAAGACGTGCACGTACACACATACATGCACAGAATATACATACACGGACACACAGACACAAGCACATACACATACATACACACACACACATACACACAGACACACTAACACATACACATTATATTCCGGCAAATGCACAAACTTCAATGCACACCACCATCCACAGGTTGACAAAACCCGTATATCTCGAGTGATCCATCACGGGATGGCATTCAACGCACAAACCACACAAACAAAAGGGTTGGTGCGGTGAAACTAGCTGCAGCTTGATTCGGACATCGTGAAGTTCCCCACCAACTAACATCAACAGCCGACAAACACAGCTAAGAGTGTCTGGTGCTCACACCCAAACACCAAACCACCTCATACCAGGGATGACTGATGCCTTACCGTTCCCAGCAGTGTCAACGCATTGATGAACTCATTCAGAGCAAGCTTCAGCATTTCCTTCTTGTGCAGTTTCTGCCATAGATCTGTGGCACAGACGAGCATAGGAGCGGAGTAGCCCTCCGCACTGGACCTCCAGGCCGTGATTGCCTTCTCCGTGGCGATGCAGTGTTTGGGCAAGGCAATGCGATGGCCGGGTCCACTGGTTGGCTGGGGTGACGTCAGTTCCAGAGCTGTGCTGTAGATCATCGACTGAAGCTCACCCAATCCAGTGCCTTTCGGTGTGGACACAAACACACCACCGAGGATACGTGGCCGACATGTCGATGGCCACAGAATGCCGTCCATGCAGGGGATGTCCTCTACAAGAGAATATACAAACACACAAAGCCAGATATTGATGCAGGCTTTTGAAGCTTCAATATTTAACCACCATCGCCCAGTTTTGACATAATTAGTATGTACAGAAAATTCGAAAGTATACAGGCAAAACAACTGAGGTCAAAGTCTTCAGTTAGTCCGAGTTTCATACAAAAACAAGCATGTCATTGTTGCTGAACTACAAAGTAGGGGAGTGCTGCGGCACATTTTCTTCTCTTTTTCCGGCCTAGGCAGAGGATAATGTTACTGTTAATCTAGTTATAATGCTCTCATGGCACACAGCATGTGGCGTTTTGACTCTCAACGGCACCAACTACTCCTTTCGAATTGCCACCTAAATGTCCACATTGCATACGACTGCATAGTCCGTACTTGTAAGGCCTTACCATCCTGAATTCTGGCCAACCACTGTTGGCATTGGCGTTTGTGTGCCTCGCGCACCGCCTTGTTGGGCCCGCACTGGTCGTAGTGAGTGAACACCACGATCACGAGCAGGGCTCCGCTGTGCAGGGTCTGCAGCTGCACCAGGTAGCGCGCCATGCTCTGGCAGCTCTGCCGTACGTCGACCATGCTGCACACGACCAGGTGCAGTGCGTAGCGCGATCCCAGGGACGAGTGCAGGGGACGCACCAACTGGGTGACCAGAAACATAGAGAACGTAGAAAACTAAGAGTGACCAACACCCGGCATTTCAACACTAAGTACCAGGAATCGAACATGTGCTAGATCTCTGAGGTTGCCACGGTAGCGGATCCCGTCGTGCTCACGTTTAGCTTCTCACACATTCGGTCTCTTTCTCAATTTCTCCGCCATCTCTCTGTCTCTCCCTCATTGTTTCCTCATTACCAATGCTTTTCCAACCATCATCGCAGTCCTAACCGTGTGTGCTGGGAAGTAATGGACCATTAGAAGCTCAACAAGGACTTTTAGGCTGCGTTCGTTTTTAGCTACCTGGTAGAGTAGAGTAGAGTAGAGTCACTCTACCGATAGAGGTAGATGGGAGAGGCAAGTGTACGAACGCTGTTCTACCGGATTTAGTAGTTTACCCGATGTGTACGTGAAATGTTCCTTTTTTGGATGGAGTTGTGTACAAATCCTTGATCATGCTGGAAATCCCGTAGCTCTACCAACTTCTACCGGATTCTACCAACTTTTTCCTGGTAGAGCCGGTAGAGGAAAGTAAAATCTACCCTTTTCAGTGGATTTTTTTCAAAAAACGAACACCTCTACCGAAAGAAGTAGTTTCTACCCAAACCTGTAGATCAAAAACGAACGCCCCCTAAGTATGGGGTGAGTACCTTAAAAGCAAATGCGAGGCCAAAATTCAGAATACCATGTCACGCTGGTTCAGCGTACCGAAACCTGTTGACAGCACTGGCTAATACTCGACCTTAACGCTTCAGTCATCATGAAATTAGTGCTAGGTATCTGTGACCAGTTGGCAGCACACTAGGATACGATGGGCGATGAAGCATGGCCGACTTTATGTGATATCCAGCTAAATGTATGCGGTCAAGCAGGAAAAGTTAGCAAAAAAAACTCCAACATGCAGGAGCGCTATACAAAGTCTTCTAGCATGCAGCCAGTTTTCACTAGCAGTGGGCAAACTGACCTCTTTTCCACTGAAGTCCCACAGGTCTACCTGCACTCCGGGTTTGAAGAAGCGCAGCCTGTCCGGTGAGTTGAGCAGCCAGCGTTGGTACTGATTGGGAAAAGGACACAGTCAGATCATCAATAGCACAGTCAGGGAATGGGATGACTGAAAGTTCCGACAGGCACTGCGCATACGGGTAGTGAAGAACCCGAGACCTTTGGTCGGTGCAGCTACCCGTGCCTCACACCCGCTACATCCAATATGCCACTGGCCGCTATCTTTGGCCTGCTGTGCTGCATCTGATGGCTGGGGAACCAAGTGAAACATTGAAAACTAAAAAGGCAAAGAGCGAGGCCTCTCAATGAAAAGAGAATACTGTAAATATACAAAATTTCGGCGCAGCAAAATTTCGGCACTTCACGATTTTTGACATTTCGGCGGCGTTTTATTTTCAGCGTGGGGTAGAGGACATGGTATAGTGCGACAGATGCTGTGAAAAATTTCATCGGCATTTTAATTTAGGCGTTTTGGGTCGGTGCCGAATATAGCCGAAATTAAATAGCTGCCGAAAATTTGTATATTTACAGTAGTGAGGATACCGCACACAAGCCCACCCAGCATAGACAGGCAGATACAAAAACAAATTAATCAAATTCTCTCCTGGAAAAGAGATCCCACTCACAGTCAGATATTGAGCTGAAGAATCCGTCTCCTCAAACTTCTTCCCAGTTAGATTGTGTACCAGTGTGGATTTGCCAGAGCCTTCCGGTCCAAACACAACCAGTTGAAGGCGCCGTTCCTCAGCACTGCTGCTGCTGCTGCTTGCACTGCTGGTAGGGCTGCTGGGTGACATGACTTGATTGTGCGTGAGGCCGAGGTGGCCAAGCAACGACGCACTGCCACTACTGATAATGTGCTGTGGGATGCTGGCCACGTCGGTCACGCGTAGCTCCTGTAGCGAAGTCAGTGCCGTCAAACTCGAAGGTAGGTCTTGTAGCTAATCAGAACACCAGACAAAGCGCAAATTGACTGTCGTCACTTGCTCCATGAACAAACTGAATTCACATCACAAGTAGCAGAGTAAATTAAAAGTTTCACACATTTGCTTTACCACCGGCTATCCAGTTTGTGTTTATAAACATAACGAGCATACCAGTTCATCTAGTACGTTGTGCAAAATAATGTTCTTTGGCAAACATTGTGCACATATGCGAAAGATTTTGGACCAGTATACGGCGGCAATATAAAGTTCAGTCATCTCCCATGCATGCGCACTTCTACAAATTGCATTCAAACTCACTCGGTTATAGGAGAGATCCAGGCAGGACAGGCTAGGCAGTCGTAGAATCCAGGCTGGAAGCTGCCGTATCTTGTTACGACTCAAATCCATGAACCAGAGCAGCGGTGCTAGACTGTAGCGCGGGTCATCGTACACTAACATTGGCGATACAGCACCAGGTGCAAGGCTCTGGGTAAGGTCTGCATATTCAGGAAACATCGCAAAGTACCACACATCAAAAGATCGGCTCACACCTCACAGTAACACGCCTTACCTATAAATGCAATGTGGCTTCCCACCAACTTGACAATAAGGCGTTCATGACACATACATGTACCTGAATTTCAACATCAATTTTTAAAGTTTCCATTTCAGAAGGTCCATGCAATATCCACTGGTAGAATTGAAATACGGCAAACATTCTCTTGCTGCACAAACACTAGTAGTAATCTGTCTGAAAATACTATCGAGCCAGCAGGATGGATAGCACGACTTGCACACAGAGTATTCTAATTCCAAACATGTATGTACACAACCAGTACCTTGCGGACCGTCATTCATTCAGACAGACAGACAGACAGGCAGACAGACAAACACACAGACAGGCTGTGGCAGACCGGTAGACAGATAAAGAGTCAGATTGACAGACAAAAATGTAGACACGCAGATAGACACCCACACAGACAGACAGATGCACGAGGAAATATCCCCATTAGTGCTGATCCGTCTTATCCAGAACCATGAAACTTGCTCAATCTACTTGCCCTACTGTAGATTCAGACATCTCACCTCCTGGCTTGAGCCTTGGACCACTGGATGGACTGATGGAAGATGCCATGAATGCTTCTCTCCGCTGGGTAGGGGCCGCACTGCGCATCAACCCAGCACCATTATCCACAGTGTGAACGATACGGTTGCAGCTGAGATCCAAGAACTGCAGCTTGGAGAGGCGAGCCCACTGCGCCCCGTCGGGAATCTCAGTCAGGTAGTTGTTGGATGCAATCAAGCAGACGAGCGACGGCAAGCGATACACCTCCAGCGGAATGAACGTCAGGCAGTTGTGCGAGAGGCTGAGGTGCGTGATGACTTCACTGCCAAGCGCCGTACACGACTGCGTCAGCCATGACGATACAAACGTTTCCAGCATCATCCTGCTCCACTGGACACAGCATCCCATATCCGGATTGCCACCGCGCACATCCTCGCCGTCACTGTCCACGTCGATTGCCTGCCACGGATCACCATCAGTTGCAGGTGACTTATGTTCGTGTACCAGTATCGTACCGTTCATCATAGCCATCATTATCTCTTTCTCTTCGTCGCTCATCTCGTCCTCGTTCTCCTCGGGCTTTTTCGGTGTCAACAGCGACTTCCAAATGCGCCGACAAGGCTTGCCGCATTGCGTTGCAGCTACATTAATGGCTCTCCAGGGCTTGACGCGATGCAGATGTTTCTCAACAGCAGCGGCGTGCAGCTGTATGACAGTGGCTGATAGACGCATGCCGGCGCTCTTCAGGTAGCTCACCAGGGAATCCATACTGTGATCAAACGCCCACAGCATAGCCTACAGCACATACATGTACATACAGACACCCCGATACATACACACACAGAAAGACACACACACACAAACACAAACACATACGATCAACAATATTATTTATTCTCTCTGGTAGGGAATAGAACACACTGGCCCTCAGTGTATGATTTTAAACTACAGTTTGTTTAATGAGATATAATACTCATAAAAAGGACACACTTCAGGCTCTTTACGAACATCTTGAAAGTTTTTGGTTTCACAAGTATACTTTCAAGCCTTCACATATTATCACATTTTTGGTTGATCTGCTGGCCAAGTCCTGCATTTTTGCTTACTGATTTTAGTGGATGCCAATCTACTGACGCCCACATGTACTGGGTGTTCGCACTACGCTCTATGCAGCCCATGTTTCATTGCACGCACTACATCATCATCAGGGAACGGAATGCAAGTTATTCAACGGTGAATCTCGGCTTTATAACAAGCCGGTCAGTTTGTGTAAACCAACAGGTTTGTTACAGATGTACAGCTAACAGTCAAGTCAAAATAAAAACCCACCTGCTCAGCAACAACGTTCCAATCCATGCTTCGATGCGACAACTGCAGAGAGTCAGATGAGAGAGACACAGGGAATACTGCAAATAGCCACCACCATATCACCATAGCATGGGACAGATGTTCTCATGCAGGACACACAAGCATCAAGCAACCATGAGGGAATTACAGGCACAATCTGGGCCAGCTTGAAAAGGGCCCAATAGAGCTTGAAAGCGATGACGTCAAAACGGCCAGGGAGTAGTATGTTCACGTCAGATTTCTACTTTAGGATCCAATAAGGTGTGACTTTGCTATTGCCTCAGTGTGTGGGTGTATAGCAACCCACTCATGTCGTATGCAGGTGTGACTTTTTCTTCGCCACCAGCTGTCACCCAACCCCCATTAGCCAACCTAGTCAATTTCACCGGCTATATCACCTTGCTGTGAGTAAGACCGCTTGAAATGCACTTGGATCCATAAAAAACTGGATCCATGTGCATCCAGTGTTTTGAATTTTTGAAATTGTTGCTATGTTGTAGCGTAGCACTTTCAAGCCCTATGCAAAAGTGTGCAGATTGGTATACACAATACAGTAGATAGGAGGCTGTTTTTCCTCTGATCTGAAATTTCATGCACCGGAAGACCATAATAGGCTGTCGAAGTGCCTACGTCACGCTGCCTGAAAACTCGTAGTTGCACGTAGTTACAAGGCCAAGTGGTGACAAACAAAAGTCGCGTCACCTGCACTTGTCGTTTTTCCAACGGTCACGGCATCACTTTGACTGGGGTGCGCTGGTGCAAGATCGCGACTTCAAATTTTGTTTTACTTCAAGAAGTTTCTCCTTCGCTCTCAAGCCACCGTGCAGTGTTTTCCTGCTGAGTGTTCACCAGCACCTCAGAGTTGGGATTTTCGCTTGCCGCTGGACAAGGAAACGAGCCCAGGTTGGTCTCAGAACTAAAAGAAATCAGCTCCAGCGGATCGCTGCGATAGAAATAACAGAGACACCCATCATTGCTTCTTGGCCGGCGACTACATGTAAAGCCGAACGACAGTAGAGGCACAGCAGTGGCCAAGCAAAAAATCAGCTACGGCTTCTCCTTCTCCACAAAGCGAAAACTACAAACTCGGCGACAAGTAGCAGTATATTTGAAATAAATAGTCTTGCTCGCGCGCTCCTCAGTCAAAATGATGCTGTAGCTGTGTTCCCTGCTTGCTGCTGCCACTGGAAACACGACAAGTGCAGGTGATGCGACTTTTGTTTGTCACCACTTGGCCAAGTAACTACGCGTTGTCAAGAAGCTCTGGCGTCAGACTTCGACGGCCTATTGAAGTCATGTTGGGGTTGCCTTGAGAATGGAGCTCGCCCTAAGGAGAACTGAGGAGAAAGAGCCCCGGACACGTTGGCTTACCTTTGTATGCTGTGCTTTGAGGAATGGAATGGCTATTGCTGCCGCTACAAACCCAGTCATGCCATGACCGTGCATAGCACTGAGCTGGAAGTGACGATGGACATTGGACCACTGTGGTGAGAACTGAGCCTGACCCAGAACAACAACAACAACAACAACAACAACAACAACAACAACAACAACAACAACAACAACAACAACAACAACAACAACAACAACAACAACAACAACAAACTCTTATTGGCAACAGGCCATCTTGAGAATACCGTAAAAGTCCGTAAATAAGTACCTGCCCGAAAGAAATACCCCCTTCATTCTTTTGGCTCTGTCTGTTGAGGTCAAGTCAAGCCCGATAAACATACTGCCCGAAATAAGTACCGGTACGGTGCGCATATGCAGCACGTAGCATGTACATCGACATGCAAAGGACTTCTCCACTACACACACACAAGTCAGGTCCGAAAGTTGTTCGTGCCCGAAAGTTAGTACGGGTGTGGTCACTAAATTCGAAAGTAAATACGTACTTATTTACGGACTTTTACGGTAAAAGATTTCAAACAGCATCAGCATCAGCAACAGCAACAGCAGCAGCAACAGCAGAAAAAAAAACAAAAGCAAATTATCCTCCGACATTCACAAGGTGACTACAAGTAGTTTGAATACTCAATGAAATGCAACTAAAACTCTCCTCATAACTCTCTTTATAAGCATTCATAGTCACGGCTATGTCAGCTATAGCACTATCCACAAACACTCACTCTCGCCTTTACCTGAACAGCTGCCATTGTCAGAGTTGTGTCAGACTGCAAGTCTAACTTGTTGCCAACCAGTAACACCGGCATTGACGGCGCCGAGTGCTGGATCTCCAGAATAAATCGATGTGCATACTTGAGAGATTGCTGCATGACCGGACAAACAGGCAAAGAGTTCCCCTTTGGTCTCATGGCCAACATTTAACGCAACCCAGAAAGTTTCGTTGGTGATATACAAGTCTCTATAATATATTAACGGACCCACACAGAGTGGTTGTGGTATGCACTTCTGCTAAAGCAAAACGAAAGACCATGGACAGCACTATTTCCTTTTTATTTATGGCTTTGATCTTGGATACCTGGTGACTGTTGCCAGATCAACACCTACACATGATACATCCCCAGCACGAAGCTGTGACCTACAAGTAGTGTAGCGGACATTGAAATCCGTTCAGAAGTCAAGTGGCCACGGGGCGCTGGCCTTGCAGCTGCTGGCACTGCTGGTCCATGTGTTACAGTGTGTACATGAACTACAGAGCAAGTAGGCACTCCAGCAGCAGTAAATGCTGGCCCCGGTCATTCCATTCAGGGGCGTCGCACACAGTACAGTCACTACGGTATTGACCATACCACTTTTTGCCCCAGATACCCCGTGAATCAACAAAATACACTGATCTGGGATCTAAAATTCCAAAATTTTCGGCTCGGCCACCACTCCCCCCACGAGTAAATTGTACTTCTGATGGCTGACCGTACCACACTAAAATACCTTGCGACCGTGACCCTGCCATTGGATATCAATGTCCACCACAGTAGTACAATACAGTTATAGCCTGGAATTTATGTTAGCACTACGCATACACGTCAAAGAAGTAAAAACAGCTAGTTGCAGCTAGTATCATTGTCCGGCTGAATGCTGTATTAGTGAGACCGAACTCAAAGAGACACAACTCAGTGATAGAGTGAAACATAAAATGCAACTAAACCCAAAGTTAATGAAAAGAACCCAACAGGCCACATGAAAAGTACACACAAAAACAACACAGTGAAGAGCAGCTAGTCACATACCTCATCTGTTACATCGTACAGTATTACCACTGCACCAGCATCCAGGTGCTGCTCGATTTTCGGGTTTCTCAGCTGCACTCAAACAGATAATGCAAAGAGCAAGCCATGAGATGACAGGTGCATTTAAACAGAGGCAGGATATCAGCTAGTAAGATATGCATGCACAATGCAGATGTACATGTATTATAATAATATGGTGAGCAGGAATAGAGTAAACCTGAATAACTTATTACATTATTACATCACAGCTAATGAAGGCACCGGCACTATCTGAACTCCGGTGCACTGGGGTCTCAGGTAACAACTGTACATCACAACCAACAATTTGCTAACTGGTCCGGCTTAATCAATCAGGAAGGAGGGGGGGGGGGGTTACGGAATATAAAACTCACAACAGAAATAAGACCAATAATGGCAATAAGCAAATAGACTTGTGTCATCAACGCATCCACTGACTTACGCAAATGAGCTGTACGGTGGTGCCGCAGAGGGGAATAGGCCCCATTGCCAACGCATTCTCCCCGCTGATATTCACCTGAAATCCAATGATGGAGCACATGGTCAGTGTGTCAGATAGTCTAACTAAGATGCTTTCGTCAAACTTAAAAGCTTTACGAAGATGTGTATGCTTGTCAAGCTTTACTACTGTACTGACGATAAATGGGTAGGAGCCCAACATAGAGTAGAGTATGAAGGGAGGGAGGGAGAGAGAGAAGAGAGAGAGAACCACCATTGTAGTATAATGGCTCACATAGTCCCTTATGATTCACAGAGCTTCACCCTCAAGGGTGTTAGGATCTCAAACACTGCGGAATGGCACATTAAGTTAACACATGACAACTTCTTTTTAAAGTTTTTCAACAGCACTGATTGTCCAACAGTCAAGACTACAAACATGCCTCTCATGCAAGTGATGCAGATGCAGGCCGTGTCTTACCAAGTTCTTGTCTTCCACCTTCCAGTCAGACAAACACCGCCCATCCTGTTAGTAAGAGGTGTGCGGGAAAACAAAACAATAAAATGTTCATCAGTACACCTGATGTGTATTGCGGCCAATCATAAAAACAATTTCCAGAAGGTCTTGTCATCGTATTACAACGCAAAACTGGCTTGCTATTCAGGCGGAAAAAGAAGCTTCCTTTCACAAAAACTTTTCATTTTTTAAAATTTATGTTACTTCAGTTCAGGAACACTTGCAGACTCAGCACCCCAGTCACAACAGGGTCGCGCGCACATGACTGTGTGCGTGTGTGTGTGTGTTCCCAAGAAGCGTTGGAGGGACATCGCTCCTGCTGACCTGAGTGCCCGGTGCGTCACAGTGCCCCGGCCGGCTGTTCCATAGCCTAGAATGTACATGTACATTATCGGCTACCTTGGCCATTTCCTTCCTTCTTCTTTTCTTTGTACATGTTGAAGACTGACCAGTGACATGTGCTGTGTTGCCACAACTACGATACAGTTTGAAAGCAGCAGTGTACAATCATATATTCGCCACTACTAGTACTCGCCACGTGTACGCATACTGAATAAAATTGCCACCCTCAGTATGACATCAACGTCATCCCCAATGCTATGGAGGTTATGCAAATGGGTTTATGGGGGTGAGTCAGCAGAACAGCTTATGGGCGCTATGTATGCAGCGCCAGTCGCTAGTGCAGTGCTGTGCCTCGACTTCGTCAAAGCATCTCCACTGGTGATGTATTCGCAGAACCTCTATACTGATAACACAAGAAGAGGTTGCTGCGACTTCGGCGATACTTGGGGAATTGTGTGTTGCTCCCTACATGGGAGCTCGTGCTTTTCCTACCTCATACGGAGCAACACACAACTGATAATACAGCACCGCATTTGTGCCGGGTAATGGTGGATTATGATTGTGCATGATTTTAGTCCTTGCCCGAATCATTACGTCTTGCTGTACTGCAGCGGCTATGCCGGCACGTAGCTCATGTATAGTAAGCGTAGTCCGGTGACCACACCAGAAAAGGCCAGCCATAGCCACAGCCATAGCCATAGCCATACGGGTAGTACAGTCATGTACGTAATGGTCGAAACAGGCGAAATGCCACCTATGAGGTTGCTGATGCAGGTACATAGCCACCACACCACACCACAGATGCACAGATGCACAGTCTAATACTGCAAGACCAGATATTTTAAAGTCTATTAGCAATCTCCGGATTTTTGTTAGTTAGCGAGGTGAAATTCTAACAAATTCCGTCTCAAAACCGGCAAATGACTGTACATGTACATATCGTTTCGCACATAACGACTTTAGATGCGATTCTTTCAAATCCGTTAACTCGGTCATCTGGTCATGCCCTCTTCCAAAACCAAGCACCAAAATTGGCAGATAGTCATTACACGACCTGCAATAATTACTAATGTGCTTTCCGTTTTCAAAAAGCTATTTTCTGCATCAAGACGAGAGTACTGTGCTGCAAGAGTGCAGTACAGTGTGTCGACTGTGTCATGTCCTCCCACTTACCAGCAGGCGCGTGATGAGAGTGCGACGTCCCGTGCCCACCGGACCGTACAACAGCAGTTTACACGGCAGAAACGTGGAGTGATTGAGAATCCCACCAGTGGCCATGCTGCCGCGCACCGCAGCGCTGAATCAGCAGCAGTCCACCACCGCCTTCGACTCTGCCTGCACTCCGGCGTCCGGTGCGTTACTCCTGTCCAGATGGCTTACGGAAAACCGAGGATGATGGTTCTCTTCTACGAGCAATGTCAACTGGCGACGAAGAGTTGCGCTCCCGCTCCATGCTGTGGAGTTAGTCAAAACCACTCGTGACGTGGCACAAGCTGCGTGCGTGCTGCAGAATGAACTCAGCTCCAAGCAAATAATTATTCTACAGCCTTCGTTTCCCTACAAGCACCGACAATCCGGCACCGGCCCAGCTCGAAACTGGGCGAGTTGAACAGCTATCGGATCCGGACGATCTGATCATTCTTGTTGCGCTCTCCAGGTTAGCGCAGATGCTCGCCTTGCTAGACTTGTAGTTATCAGTATATTCTGCAGTGAGACTCTGGGTTGCAACCCTATAATTCTGCTGCTGCCCAGCTGTGTGAGCACGCAGGTAAAAAAATTCTGAAACTGCAAGACAACATCCTCATCTGCTACAGTACAGTGCTACATCGTTTCACAGAGTTCGTCTCGGTAGCACGACGAACTGACACTCGCACACGCGATCATGACTGTCATCATTGATACATGGTCATACTCGAAGAAACTCCGGTCAGTACTTACAATCTACGCGGACAACCTGGACTACGGAGTAGATCTACGGTCAGTAGATCTACGGAGTCGCCAAGACTCTGCAGAGTGCAGTTGCCAAGAAAGAGCCAACCTTTGTTGAAGCAAGATGGCACGACGAGCTCAGCTGACTTGTATCACCGCTACTGTCGTACTGACTAGACTCTGCTCTGTCTACATTTTTCTGACACTGTCTAGTGTCAGTGTGCCTGCATGTGTCGGTGTAAAGTCTACCATGCATGGTGCCGGTACAGTGACCATGGTGACTGAGTGAGAAATGAGGTGAGGCGTAGATCTACAATGAGTCATGTACATGTACACTGTATATGTAGTGTAGCAGTGTAGGTCCACGACGCCCTGGCCCCTGGCCGTATATCAGGTATATCAGGTATTACTAATTATGTAGCTTTGGTTGTATCATCATGCACAAGTACATGACTTCAAAAATAAAAGACTTCAATCCGACTCCTATCTAGTCCTAGAGTAGAAGCTATCCGTATAGTAAATACATGTATATTATACATTTCAATACTCAACTGATAGCTGTTTCGAGTCGAACTTTCGACCTTGCTATGTCTCATTTCTGAGTGACTGCCATGGCTGTACATGTCCTGTCAGAACGGACCAAGTGAAGACGGCGGCCTACCTCATCTTCTTACCACACACTCATGCCCTGTGATACAAATCGCAAGAATATCTACTGTACATGCATTGGCTACACGACCACCACCGCCAGCACCATTGCGTTCTGCGGCCCACCACCACACACATCTTTCAACGGCCGAATGCTGCTGCTCACCGTCCGTAGGCTTATAAGATGTACAGGAATATCTACATGATTGTACATGTACTGTATATGAGCTAGTATGACCTACATGTACATGGACAACAGAGTAACATACACGACTTGTACAACAGAGTAACATACACGACTTGTACAACAGAGTAACATACACGACTTGTACAACAGAGTAACATACACGACTTGTACAACAGAGTAACATACACGACTTGTACAACAGAGTAACATACACGACTTGTACAACAGAGTAACATACACGACTACATACACGACTTGTACAACTAGGTCTAACAACGAGTAACTGTACAATGCCGCCGGCCTCGGCTTTCAAATACTATGTCCGGAAAGCAAGTTAGCCATCTCATATTCTGCACGGTATTTTTTGAGCCGGTAGATATTGGCATATGGCCCCCTCCCCCCCCCCCCCCCCCCCTCCTGGTGACTGCAGATGTGATACTTCCCAATATGGCAATAACAGATGAGTAGCCGTTAGAAATGATAGGTTTCCTGTGCATTTTTACTCATTTTTTTAGCCAATTTCCTCGTTTGAACGCAACTTGAGTGTGACTCGCGTTTGAATGGCAAAACATGAATATCACACTCGGAGAGAGTTGCGTTTGCCCGTGACAGTGCTCAATACACCAAGGTGCATAGTCTAGTACACACACTTGAGAGGAATTAAAAGCGTTTCTGCTGTAACTCTGAGTTTCACGGTTTTAGCCGATCATCAGAAAGTAGCCCGTACCGTTCATTCGCGCCATGATCCAAGCTTGCAGCCTATATCGATCATAGCTTCTGAAAACTGTAGTCAAGTTGCGGTCTGATGATCGGTTAAAACCGTGAAACTCAGAGTTACAGCAGAAACGCGTTTGATTCCTCTCAAGTGTGTATACACGAATATGATTATGACTAATAGCATCTTGGCTCACCTGTCACTACAGGCATAATAAAATATACAACACCTCACACAGAAAAATTCCCCAACTATATAATTATTTCACACTTCAGAGCAGCTCGCCGGTGGAAAGATGTTACCATTCCACCCTTCGCTTTTTCAGTCTCATGGCTTCATCGTTCTCTTGGCGTTCATGTCCCTGGTAAATTGCATTGAGACCATACTCATAAATGGTCAGCTGTAAATCATTTTAGTACTGTAGTCTGTGGTCCAACATTTCGTCTTTGGATTTTGAAACCAATAGCATACCCGAACCTTCACCAACATGTACATGTATTTGCTGCAGTCCTACATGATTTCAAAGGTACAGTGCCACTCGATGAGATCCGATTGGTGAGCCAAGTTTGCGCCCTGCACCAGTTGAAGTCCACGGCTCAGTGTTCACAGGTTTGTCGGGCTGCACAGTGCCCGTCAGGACCTCGCTGACCGGCGTACTCGGATCTCATTGGCCAGGACTGCACATGCCGGGATTCTAAAACCTTGCTCCAGCTGTGATGTACGTCAGAGCCCGATGATTATGGCCTATAGACTGATATGTTGCTTCCAAGGAATGTGTCAGATGGCACCGATTCGGGCATAACTGGTATCAAGAGTCCATAAACAAGAGTATGCAACTGTGATCTCTTTTCTATGAACCAGATGTGCGGTGCGCTGCCTTCATTACATCATTCAGCTGCAGTCCGCGTACTGCGGAAAATCAAACACCGCACTGTCCCTCTGGTTTGAAATGAACTTTCGTACGGAACTGGAGTTCACGCGCCAAAAATTAGAGATCGCATAGGTACTGGAAGGAATCGAGCAAAAACGGATGGGCTCGTACGAGAAATTGTGGGTTTGAGTGCATGCTTTCAGAGCGTGATGAAGGCAAGTTATGTAATGAAGGCAGTGCGCCGCGCACTAACCCATAACCGGAGTCATATACTCTTGTTTATGCACTCTTGCTGGTATATAGCACAATCATGTGACGTGCATGGTGATTTCTTTAGAGTAATCCATGTATGTTTAGCCATATCTGGTCACCTGCTTGTTTCTATGGTAGAAAGTGCAAAGTATGATCCTACTTTTTATGACCATGAAGTTGCAGTTTGTCTGCCCAATTTTTTTAGCCTCCACTCTTTCATGTCTCCTTTGTGTCATTGGCAGGGTTGTGGTGCAAGTTCTCTAGAACAAAATTGGCAATTACCAATTACAATAACCAAGGCTTCAGGTGTCCACACAAATTCTGGTGGCTAAACTGCAATCTGTACACGCGCATTTCCAGACATGCGTCCATAGACAGCCCTGATCTAATTCATGCACATCTCCCTGTAGTCTAACCAGCTGCAAAGTGATGATTGTAGTGTGTTCGGGGGGGGGGGGGGGGGGGGGGATCCACGGCATCTTACTACACCGCTAATGCTATATCAAGAGATAAGGGCCAGTGCCCAAAATTGATTGCCTCACATTTCCCCAAAAACGGTCATCCACGGAATCATGCATCAGCGGAATGAATGATATCCAATATTGTGAACTGTTCCTTCTTGCTTGCTGGAAGTTCGCACATGGTGTTTTTTGGGGTTTTTTTCTTTCCACAAAATCCACATATCTCCAGACACTGGGGTGAATAATGGAGTGTGGTGGTGTGGCCCATCAAGCACAGTAAACACAATAGAACGGCATTCTATGCCCAGGATGTCAGAAACCCTGCAATCATACTGGCCGATCTCTTTGCCGGTGAACAACATATACCCGAGAAAGCAAAAGATGTGCAGTAACGGAATGCTGGGGATATTGCCATGGTGTTCGTGATTTCGTCCTCTCAGCAGCATGCTTGGCATTGCTCACTAAAACAACCACGCTTTCAATTTAATCTACTGCTGAAAGTCGGTAAATGTGCAGAGCGGCAAGTTTTCACTGTTTGAAACCTGCATTGGGTGTGGCAGATCGGCCGGCATAGAGGCATCGTACAACGCCGAGGCTTGGTCGTGATCGATACCTGCCGAAGGACCGGGAGACTTCACTGTGGGCAAACCATCAGATGGCCTCTCACGAGGCTGCAACGTAGCGTAATCTGTGTGCGACTCTGACGGATTGATCGGCTTTCCCGGGCGCAGCTTTCCCCTGAAAGGAAACTTTATCGAGATGTATCGGCCGTTCAGCGTCTCCTTATTTTCTGTGCGGGGTTGGTCCGTCCGCGATGGTTGAGGATGCAGAACAACTTTGTTTCCAGGCTGGAATATGCTATTGTCAGCCAACGATGAGTCACTGTTACGGAAGAATACCTGCCTGTTTGCCTCCTTGAAGCGTTTTTCTTTGCACTTCCTAGCAAGGAATATGATGGTGACAACCAGGATTGCAAATAGGAGCGCGGACGCGAAAGTAACGAAGGCAGTGAGTATCCAGCATGGCCTGACGTAGGCATTGGTACTCTGATCGCAGCGGAAGACAACCATTCGATGTTGCTTGGTCGTGTTGCGTGCTGTCTGCGGGGGGTTTAATTGCCGATCGCTATGGCCTGTAGACCGATTTGTTTGAGTAGTTGGCTGCTTTGAGCTTTTCTCCGTTCCAGCGGATGCTGCGCTGGGCGTCGTGTTGCGTGCTGTCTGCGGGGGGTTTAATTGCCGATCGCTATGGCCTGTAGACCGATTTGTTTGAGTAGTTGGCTGCTTTGAGCTTTTCTCTGTTCCAGCGGATGCTGCGCTGGGCCCATCTTTAGGTTTGGTGGAAGTTTGCTGAACTTCGGTCCGGCTGGACGAGTGTGCTACATGGGAGGTTGGCAATGCAGTCGATACCCGGCTCGTGTTTGATGCAGCTCGTGTGTGTGAGCCTGCAGCTTCTTCATGAGCTTTCCCGACTGGACCAAGTCGGATAGTCTGAATCCGGCATTCGCGATGCGAACACAAGACCACAGAGCTGAAGATGATCTTGAAGCCATGGCTCAAAGCCCGTCGTGGCTTGTGTTCCTGCACTGCAGTGACCAGGAACAGTTGAACTGGGTCAAACTTAACAAGCTGGCCGATGACCACAATACCATTGGGCAAGTGGAGCAATGCAGGCGAGAAAACACCCACCACCGCCACCTTG